CGGATCGATGTAGAGAATTCTATTGAGCACAGCACATATTTTACGACCGACAAATCACAGAAGCAGAGCCAGATTGAGAAGGGTAGAGAGTTTCTATCCCCAGTCGCTGGATGAATATTAGCTGTAACACCAGCTGCAATATTCCAGCATTATTCAGTTCCTAAAGAAGCTCCCAGCACTCGGGAGTGCGACGTTGCGACATCATGCCAAAGCAATCAGCGGTACAACCAGAAAACGCATCGGAGAGCTGTCCAGCGGGACAACATATTTGCAGGGCTCTGTAGCTTGAAGCCATGAAGCAAACTCCGGTCATCCTCGCAGTGGCTTTTGGCCAGCCATCGAACAAAGATGGGCACTGTATCGCGCGGCGCTTTCACATGCACGTCTGTGCATGGTAAGAAAATCACCAAATATGTATACATATGCAGGGTGCTTCAAAAACAAGTTAACACTTCGGAGAACTTGCAACAATACCACGAGAAATGTGCCGCCTCCGGGCTCTGCAGACCACCTGGAGAAGATTCCAGGCACGTGTTGACAATGATGGCGAACAAGTGGATACTCTTTGACGTTTTGAAGCTATGAACATACATTTGTTATTACGTAATTTATTTTATTTTTTTCCCCATTTTAAAACGATAGTCCCATATAAGTGTACAAAATATTTTGAAGCACCCTGTAGATATATAATTCTGATTTATCAAGCTTGAGCAAGACAGCAAAAACAACAAAACAGTCCCAGACCACACCAAGATAACACAGCACAGTAGTCCTTCAATAAAACGGCACGTTAACGTTGAACGATCGATACTCAGGCAAGGATCAACGTTACCGTGTGATAATGTAACTGTAATAATGTACCGATATAGCCACACTGAATCGCAAAACTCTTTTTGTTCACGAGAGTCCTGCATTGGTGTTTTTTTTGTTATTTGTTTTCAGCCAACTAATGAGCGTTCACACGAGTGCAAGGAAACGTGGAGCATGCGAAGAAAGACCCACACTCTATCCCCAGTCGAACACGTAGTAGGCTATCGCGACCAATATCATCCATGGGAGGTTTTTTATTTTTGGGTTAGATCGCGTAAATATATAAATGTGTCGTTAAAACCCGCCACCACCCGACACAACCAACTAGTAAGATTCGTTCATGAGGCTATCCACATATACAAACACAGAGACAATTTCAACCGAGAAGATGGATTCTGGCTTAGCAATCATTGGAAGGATTCGATAAACCATTTCGGGTCTTAATTGATTGTTCACGCTTACGGTGGCTTTCAGACAGCATACATTAATTTTTCGTCTCCCCCCTTCTCTTTTCCGAACATACATGGACTCATCCATCTAAACAAACTGTCAAATCGCTGTCCGTGGTGCTAACGTTTAAAAATAAATAAATACAACCGCCACTTCATTTCAAATGTTCTTGCCGTTGGTTTTCACAACTGATGATGACTGCTTGTGTTGCAGTCGAAACGTCGTGAGAATTGTATTGTTTTATATATATTATTATTTAATTGTTTCCCTTCAACGTGACTTTACCGAAAGAACCAATAATATGAATCACTGCAGTCGCGAAAGCTTTAAATCAAAATTTTGTAAGGGTTGTCACGTAAACAGAACGTGCCAAGTCGTTACTAGTACAGCACACCCGGTGTGTTGGAGAGCCAAGCCACAACATTTACAATCTGAGTACGACGTTTCGCCAGTAATTACAATTAGCTTCATCGCCCGTTTTGTTTATTTAGCTCATCGTGCGACAGTTACATTTGTGGAGAAGTCCACCTGTTTCGTTCCTGATACAGAGGCGTAGTTGTGGTGACCACACTTATGCGTTCTTCTTGGAAACACATGGTGATTAATCCGCTTGTTACTCTCAGCATTGCCATCTCCAGGGCATCTCGTAGCCCTCCCAAGCCCTCACGTACTCCCTTCCAAGTACAAACCAAACTGGACTTTGCTTGGCATCTCAGACAGAGTATGATGAGATTGTCCGCATTTAGATCGATTTTCTTGATGGCACGCAGTGTTATATTTCTGTCCACATTTACAATAATGAAAATATTTGTAACTTATTATAAATCATTGGGGGGAAAAACGACAATGTACTCGGAATACCACACGAGGACTGACAATTTCATCATATATCCTAGCCATCTAATTGGCCATTACGTAAGAATCAGACCCTTTTGTAAAATGCTGCATTAAGAAACGCTGATGCTGCCACTGAAATTGCTCGGAACATTATGCAATGCACCTACACACAGCAATTCGAATTGACCTCCTTCGAACGTAAACGTGTTTGAATGTCACCACCAGCTTCTCACCTCTAACCGGCGTTCGACGTTCAAACGTCGTAAGCAGCGACGCATTCAGTGTCATTGACGTCTTCGCGCGAGTCTCTCATGAATCCACCCGTCGGCATTTTTTTTTTAACGCGCGTTAAGATTAATAGGTGGTGTTAGAAATGTCCACATGGTAAAAGCCACTTCGTTGAGCTATCATTTGTGGCCAGGTCGCTTCTGAAATAAATATAAATAGCTCAGTGTGCTTTACCTGGTTAAAATTTTAAAAAGGTAACGATCCGTGTATTTCTTTATTTTTCGTAAATTGGTTACATTTCTTAAACGTTGCACTCCTATCGTTATTTCTGTATTGTTTGCTGTTTCAACCTTCTGACCCACCCTCTACTAGACATCTGTGCTTCATAGCTCATCGGATTTCTCCAGAACAAATAACAATTCTGATTCCGAAGTTGTCTTGCTTGCAGATCTGGCGCTGTGCAGCAAAAACATTGACACGCCCTTGAATTACAAACAGCCACGGCCTGGCAAGGAGCAAAAAACACAAACGGACGTATGCATTAACGAGTACCAATCATCACCAAACGCTCCCCGATTAACGCTTTCGGAACCATACGCACGTGTTACGAACCCTTATACTGTAACATTTATTTCTGCGTGAAACAGCAACCGCACGCGGCTTGACGTTTTTAACGGGGCATAAATCAATGACGATGTAATAATTGTCCGCGTAATGTTTTTTGTGTTGTTGTTGTGTGTGTGTGTGCGCGCGTGTTGTGCGTGCCTTGTTGGGTATGGGGGGTTGGGTGGATTTATACTTGCAGACTGACGACAGTCAGTGGTGGTGCGGGGGGTGGGTGGAGGAGGAGGAGGCTGCGGGAAAACGTCCTTCGCATAGCCCACCTCCCGCCTGCCACACCCAAGTCGTCCTCTGCGCCAAACGACCTCAGCGATCGATCGATCGCATCGAGGCCCCGGAGCCGCTCCCTCCGCTCCAATTACTCGGCCGTAGACACCTGCGATTGCGCTCTCCAATGCAGTCGGTGCCGCCCTAAGCCCCCCCCCCCCCCCCCCCCCCCCACTTAATCTCTTGTCTCTGTTTGCCGAGAACAAAATGGGAACGGGACACACACAAAAAAACCCTCCACCCCACACAGCGCTGACCGTAGTAACCGGACATGGCCATGCGGTGTTAAAATGTATCTCCTCTCTCTCGATCGTTTCCACGCTTTCCTGTCTTGTACAGATGTCTGTGAAATAACGCAAGGTGGGAGAGATACTCAATCAATTGTGTACGGTACTAACATATATTTAGTATCATTAATAAAGTATTTTATCTGAGTAGTCTCGTGAGATGGAACATCCAATTTGCAATGATATCCAGGATATATAAGTTACGATTTCCAAATATTAAGTTATATTCAAATATGACGTGTTCACGTGCTGTACTCTGGGAAAAAACCCGCACTAAAGCTGCTCCATTCTTGAGGATGTCTGTTAATGATATCAATTAATAATACGGTGCAAGTATGTCCACATTGCACATTCAAGGTGCATGCCCACCCTGCACCAAACATTTGCATAGGGTGTCGCAAGTACACCGAACCTTCATTAGCGCGGGGTTCTTCAGCGATTTCTGAGCAATATTTATCAACCAGAACGTTTAGTAAGATTTAGGTATTGCGGTAGTTTCGGCGGATTTTAACCCCACACACGGTGCAGCAGTGCATTCAGTTTATAAAACATAAAAGCCACGCGGCCTCACAAATATGTAACGGTCTGCTCAATTATTGACGGGGTATAAACGTCATGTTTTTGTATAAAATGTTTCATCACAATGCGCATGTGCATTTGGAATAATTCCATCATATACAAATAGCTTTATTCATCATCTAATTAGTAATCAGTTGGCTTCACTATGCATAAACAATCTAACATTTAATGCAAATGGTAAAATGTTATTCAATGAGCATTTGTGTATTTACCTCTGAATATTTTTTCGGCACATTAAATGGCAAGTGACCATATCTACATTTGCATATTTTAATGACATGTACACGCCTTCTTTTATTTGCTTTTTAAATGGCCGTATCCATATTTATGTTAACTCTCAACATTGCAGAAGAAATAATTTCAATACCTCAGATCAAATTTGCATCCAGAGTTCATTCATATTTTTGGTGTATCTATGCAAAGTCATACATTTGTTTTTATACACAGGTAATACAGAACCCCTTTAACGTAAAAAAAATGGGCACATCCATAAGACTTTGACACTGGACTACAAGCCAGTCTTGGTTGGGTCAGTACCACCTGGACCAGCTGAGTGGGGGTGATCTTATGATGTGTCGTTGGCAAACGGGACAGGCAGCTGGCTCTGAATGGACCATAAATACTACATATATTTTGTCGTTACTGAATTATTCATGGTCACAGTCCAGAAATAAAGCATTCGAAACCGAAAATAAATATTTGCCGAAAAAAATAATTGTACAATATTAATAACAAAAAAAGTACAAATGTGCGCACGCTTTCACAAACCCAAATGTTTCGTTTTTAATTTGCTGCGCTTGTCACAACGCCTCTCATTTTGCGTTGACCTTGCGAGCAGGCACGGGCTCCGTTTGGCCGGCCAGCCCCAGAACTGCAGTGGGGACCTGGCTGGGTGCGGCAGAAGATGAATCAATTGGGGTGGAGAGATTCTGCAGCGTCAGACACGGCAGCCGCATAAAAAGCCCCAGCCCCGCTTTCACAGCATCTCACTCCTGCAGAAAGCTCCCGGGTCCTGCGCTCCTCCTTCTCTTGCCTGCTCCCAACAAATTGAACAATTTCCCACCTCCGCCACCATGAGCTCCTACACATCCGACTCTGCTGTCACGTCCATCTACAGGCGGTACTTTGGCGAGCCCACCAAGTACCGAGCCAGCTACGAGATGCCCGGCTACAAGGTTAGCGCCGCCGGCTACGGAACGCGCTCCGTGTCGGTCGGCTCCACCCTGGGCGTTCCCGTCGGCTCGTTCAGACGCACGCACTCCCGCTACTCCAGCATGTCCATCCCGGCCACGTCCGACATGATCGACCTGTCCCAGGCCGAGTCTCTGGGCAACGAGCTCAAGTCCATCCGCACGCAAGAGAAGGACCAGCTGCAGGACCTCAACGACCGCTTCGCCGGCTTCATCGAGCGCGTGCACCACCTGGAGCAGCAGAACAAGGTGCTGGAGGCCGAGGCGCTGATCCTGCGCCAGAAGGAGATGCGCCCCTCCAACATCAAGCAGCTGTACGAGCAGGAGATCCGTGACCTGCGCGCCCTGGCCGAGGAGTGCAAGAGCGAGTACAACAGCGCCAAGGGTGGCCGCGACCAGATGGAGGGCGCGCTGGGCGCCCTGCGAGCCAAGCACGACGAGGAGAGGCGACGTCGCGAGGAGTCGGAGGGAGCCCTCGACGAGGTGAGGAAGGCGGCCGACGAGGCGGCGGTGCAACGCGTGGCGCTCGAGCAGAAGGTGGGCTCGCTTCTTGACGAGATCGCCTTCCTCAAGAAGGTGCAGCAGGAGGAGATCGCCGACCTGCAGGCCCAGATCCAGAGCGCGCACATCACGGTGGAGATGAGCGTTGCCCGGCCCGACCTCACGTCGGCGCTGCGCGACATCCGCGCCCAATACGAGGTACTCGCAGCCAAAAACATGCAGTCGGCCGAGGAGTGGTTCAAGACCAAGTTCACGGTGCTGTCGGAGAACGCCAACCGCAACACGGAGGCCGTGCACGTCGCCCGCGAGGAAGTCTCCGAGTACCGACGCCACGTGCAGAACAAGACGCTGGAGTCAGAGGCCATCAAGGACATGATCGAGTCCCTGGAGAAGCAGATCCAGGATCTGGACGAACGGCACCAGAAGGAGTTGGAGCCCTTGCAGGTACGAGGGCTGCAAGACGTTCGGGATTTTTTTTTTAGTGTCCACGCACTGCGCGCCTTTGGGATTCCTTCCCAGCGGCGTATTATCCTTGAGCTATCGCGACCTTGCTCACGATTTAAAGAGACGGAATTAGCTCTTATCTGTTACACCTTCAACGTTGCTCTTTGTTGAGTGGCCTTTTGGGCCTGTGCTCACAGCAACTGTGATTTAAAAAACAAACCCATCGATGACTTGCTTTTTTTAGTTTTTTAACATTTCTCAGCGGGCGATGTTACCACATTCGGTGATAAAAAAAATAATAATGCATCACGGGATTTTGATGTATAGCAAAGAATACAGAAGATTATGAATGCAGTTCAACACTGCATTCGCGTGTCTTTGTTTTAAAATCTCTCCCGTTGAGCCGCACTGCAACACTGCAGTGTCGCTGCGTCAATGTTAATGCACGAGACAAAGCTGAACCCTATTGGGTGTTAAATATTCACCACCGCCGTTGCCCCCGCTTTGATTTCAACTTGGCGCGTGGGCACGTTGCGATTCGGGTGACGTGGGGGGGGGGTGATGTCTGGTGGGGATGGGTCGTGATACAAGCTGCCCGATGGCGCGACGCAGACAAGGGCACATTTTGCTTCCAGAATTTTTTTTTTACTTCCAGTCAAATGTCAACGAAAAGGCGCCACGTGTTCCCCTTTCGTGAGAATGGTGGAAAGCCCATAATTCACACTTAGAGACCTGCAACAACAAAAAACACAAAGGTATAAATAATGAAGCTATTCAAATAATATAATTACGATTGTTAATGTTTATAAGCTGTATATTGTAATATTTTAAATGAGATGCTATACCATTTGTTTGCAGGAACTCATCCCTGAATTGGAAAAAGAACTGCAGTCAACGAAGAATGAGATGTCACGATACCTGAGGGACTACCAAGACCTTCTCAATGTCAAAATGGCATTGGACATAGAAATTGCAGCGTACAGGTTAGTGTATGAATATTCATTTTTTTTAATATATAGATTGCAATGGTAGTAATAATAATGAATTATCTTATGTAAATCGACTGCTGCACAACGGCTTCACCGTGCCGTGTTAGCTGTGTTTGATCATAAATCACCACGCTGGCGAGCGTGGATGGTGAAGAGGGTGGAGTGGGTGGGGTCAGGTGGAAGAGCAGTTCAGGGACCACTCGCGACTGACGTTAACCAGAGTCAGGAATTGGAACTCAGGTGACCGGGTTTCATAGCGCAGTGCGGCGCTAACCACCTGCGTCACCGCTGCACTCCACCTAACACATTACTGTCTCTTTGCAAAGGATATAAAAGCACCATCAGAAACACAGCACCATTTTCACAATACAAATTTTTCCCACTGATCAATTTTCATTGTTAAATGGTTGGGCACACAAAACTCACAGCACGCACATCGATGTCGGATTATTCATCTTTTTGTCCTTCGGGGCCTGCGACACTTTTACCCCCCGCCGTGCCCCCGTGACGCGCCGTGACATTCCGTGCGGCCGCCGTTTGTTGGTCGGACGCGCATCGTGTTTTGCCAGGAAACTCCTGGAGGGAGAGGAATCCCGCCTGACCATCAGCTCCTCCTTCAAGTCGTCGGTGTCGCCCGTCAACAGCCCCAGCTTCCTGCTGCAGTCGCGCCCGCTGCGCACCTCCATGCAGATGCCCAAGTACCTGGGCGGATACGACTTCTTCAGCGGCTACTCGCTGAGGAACGGCAGCGAGGAGGGCAGCGAGGTCACGGATAGCTACGGCTACAGCAAGAGGAAGGGAAACTAAGCGCCCCTTTTTAAGACCAATCCCACCTGTCACATTGATAACTAAAGTAACAACAAAAAGCACCTTAGAAAATGACAACACAAAGTGCGCGCGCAATTCACGCTGCTTGCTGTTAGTTGGATCGGGGGGTGAACAGAATGAGTGCATGTTGAACGTGTTAACGTCTACAACCCATACTTGACCGAGTGGGAGAAGCAGATTAAAAATGTTCAGCAGCGCACCAAGGCCAATCTGCTCTCTCGTGGGTTGTGCGCATGTGAGAGAAAAGAGAGAAACAAAAATTGCCACTGACAAAACCAGTTGCTGAAACAAAAAAAAAGAAGCAATATTGGAGATTATTGAAGCCAAATAGTTGCCTGCTGGTACAAATTCTTGTCATGTTGCCGTAGCAGAGTTAGCTTGGTGTCAGCGTCAATTTTGATGATGAAATAAAACGCTTGTGCCATTATATGCACTAATCTGTAAGACTCCCTTTTTTCTGTTTTATGCGATTGACATACGAGGTCACATATCATGACACATCTCATACGTCATACAACAAAGTCACAATGCACCCGATGTCATCATATTTTAGCAGCTAAGCAGGTCTTAGCCTGGTTAGTATTTAGATGGGTGGCCGTCAGGGCTTGCCCGGTGCTGTAGGCACGGGGTCGCCAGGAGTGTCGAACGTCACCCGCTCCTATTTGTTGTGGGGTTTTCCCCGGGTGCTCTGGTATCCTCTAACATCCCACGCACGCGCTCATTCATTGGCCAAAATATCCCAATGTAGCAGGAGCCTCTTCAAGAAATGATCTCGAGACTCGGTGAGGCTTTCCTGGATGCAAAATATGTATTAACTAGCTGTACTACCCAGCTTCGCCCGGGACTTGGATTCACCACGCCCGGCCGCCTTTGTCTCCCCAGTGGCGATGTTCACACACCACAGCAGTTAGTCGTTTGAGGTTGAGTCGACCTAGGGGAGGCCCAGGACCGGTTAAAATAATCGTCACCGGTGGTGGCCGTGAGCGGGAATCGAACTCGGGTCGCCGGGTTCGTAGCGCAGCACGCAAACCACTACACTACAATGCGTTACGCTTCCATATGCGCGGGTCACGTGACAGATTTGACGTCACAGCTCACTTGTCATGCAAAAAATATATGCATTATTGAGCTCCCCACCCCCCAAATTTTTTTAAAATTATTTTTGCATGGTGCACAATCTGGAAAGTACCCACATGGCCAGTTTGTTGCATGTCGGGAATTACGCTAAACATTTTGAACAGACACACATTCACAACTTTGTCTTTTATATATATGTAAATAGTATTGTGATTACACAATCAAAAAGGTGAAAAAAAAATTCACACCCAAGTTACCGTATCAGTTGAAACGGACTTTAATATCAGTGTTCATAAACTCAAACTTAAAAAAAATTACCAACTTAAAATAGCTTAACCTGTTGTCGAAGAAATAAAACCATCACCTCTATAATTAGTGCTAAATATTCGAGGACAATTGGAACAATTCGAGCAAAACTTTATCTCCAAATTCTCTATTTCAAGTGTCTCGGCCACATCAATGCTGGTGATGAAGCACAACTCCTCAAACGAGGTTTCCCCCCTTCATATATACACGCACACAATTCCGAATACAGAATTACAGAAAAGTGCACAGATGCAACATGTGAACTCCGCGTTGCATGAAGGAAAACAAAACTTCATGCCTGAACAACACGAGTGAAACAGAGGATGCATTAAACATCGAAGCTTTAAACAATTTGGTAAAACTGAAAAAAATGCAATCGCGCTGCAAACATTCAAAAGTGAATTGCCATCGGCCTTCCTTTTAGACATTTAATGGCATGACCATTTCTGTCAATCGGCAAACATACGCTGCATGTTAAGCAAGGCATTTTACTAGGAAACAACTACACACAAAAAATACAGAAACATTGCTGAGAATTTTTTTAAAGCAGTTTACATGATCTATGACTTGTATTCAGTCTATCTTGATTGGTTCTGAAAGTAGAACACAGGGGGCCAGAACAAAGAAAAATATATTAAAGATGTACCTTACGTATGGCAGGCTGCAATGTCGTAAGTGGAAAACGGAATGCATGTCAAAGTAAATATGGGAATCATTGTGAAATTGTAACTCTCACTCGCAAGATATATTACTCGGGATTGTCATTACTTTCCACTGGACCAGCCGGGAACGCAACCCCTACAACATGGCCGGCATGACACCGTGCCCCGTTTTAGCTGGTCTGTGCAGAGGTAAGTAGTGTATATTGTTATTAATGTTGATCGTATTAATTAATGTGATTCGCGTAATATTATTCACGTCATTAACGTTGCTCTATTATCGGTAAAAATCTACTTACGAGTAGTGCTGACCACACATATTTCTCAAGTTTATAAAGCCCAGCATTGTAAACCCTCTTATATACTTGGAGATACGGCAAATATTATCTTAAAATGAAGTTACGATATTGCTGCGACGTCTTAAGTAGTTCTGTACTCTGGCCCCGTGTCTACTCAGAGAAACAAATTTCCTTACCTCTGGAAAGAAAGACACATCAAGCGTACACTAGGAAACAGTTGTGTGTGCGAGGCTTAAGAAAAAAAGAGCTCAATTTTCAATACATTTGCATCATTACAAAAAAATGCAACAATCAACGTTAGCCTTTTTCTGAGGTGCAAAATACAACAGTAATTCAAATATTTTGTTCACGGAAAAATAATAATGAAAAGACATTACGTATCATCTTATTCCACCAATCATAACAAAATAATAAACCCACATTTTTTCCTGAGGAAAGGGGATTCAACCAATTCAATTACCCATTTGTACCTATGTGCAAAACATTTAAAAGTTTATAATGGCGGTTTTAAGCGTTTTTAAATGTAATATATGCACTTTGAGAACGTTGAATTTTGCGATCTTATTCAATTTGAAAATAAATTAATTCCTGTACACAAGTGTACATAAAGCTGCTGTGCACTAATAAATAATGTTCTCAGCTTTGTCAATCCACTGCTGGATGAAGGCCCCTCCACACATCGTGGCGGTTATGGGCACTGTCTGACCCGTACTTCACTGCGTTGGTCAGCGCGAGTCGATGAAGGGGGCAGGGAGGCTCAGAACCAGTTCAGATATCACTCGCCACCAATGTAAGCCATAGCCAGGAATCATAGAGCGGTTGCCGGTGCGCTAACCACTGCGTCACAGCAGTGAACCCTTTTGTATCAAGGGCGTTGTACTTTTGCGCCGATTCACTTATTGAATGACATTCCTCATCACTATTAATCAAGGTCATGCACGTTCTTAAGTGCATTTTTGGCACCACGTGGCAACACATTTTGACATGAAATGGAAGCTACATATGGTGGAACAGCCAGAGTAGGTAGGCTGGACCTAAAATAAATCCACAAAATAAAAGATAAAGCATGAAAGTGGACTAGGAAGCCACTTGCTCGCCGATTCCAACTTTGGCACTATTTAATATTGTCTTATGCTACCACAGAACCACATGACGTGCGTTACACATACGCGAATGTAGCAATGCATTCCAATTTACAATGCTCTACCAAACACAGAATGTTCAAAAACAGAATTTACTCATCCTGTGCCAAGATATACATTTGCAAGATAAATTATCTACAATTTCCATATATATACAGACTTGCTCCCAAAAAAATCACCGTACAAGCTATTCGCTTTGTGTGCAAGAACCTCCCCAGAATTAACTATAAATATACGCTGATGCTGTTATCAAATAACTTACCATTATTCCTCTCATGCATGCAATATAGATGTTTAACTATTCAAACCACGGGATGTGGAGTGTTGCACAATTATAATGCTTAGCAAGGAGCTACCCGAAATTTTGTACCAACGTTTCGTGTAAACATCGAAGAGATTTTAAACAGCTGTCCTCGTTAACTTTATGCATTCAATATAAAAGTAGACGTCAATAATTCAGCTCTGCTCTCTAACATTCTCAGAATATTCAAGAAGTGCACAGCTACGGGCGGTTTTGGTACAGCCACCGATGCAACCATGTTGCACGCGATCCATGACATCGTGTGACCAAGGTCACATTTCGGTGGCCGGTAAACCCTACATGGGTTGATGCAGAAAACTGATTGATGTGGACACCTTGATGGACAATGTTTGAAATACAGTAACAGGGGTGAATTAATTAAAAAAAGGGCATTAAACATTCAGCCTCATCGCCGAGTTGAAACACAGCCATTAATCTATCCACTGCCGCAATGTCACAATGCAGAAAGTAAATCCTGGATTTGTCATATATACATTTAACACCCCTTTTCCATTGGCACATCCGAGCCGAGCTAGCATGGGGCTCTCACAGCACGGGTTGTTTTCCACTGGCTATTTGCCGTACCAAGCCTGAACCAAACCGCTATACTCCAGTCTCATGAGGCAACTGAATCTAGTAGCTTAGGGTCAAACAAAGCGGGACAATCGTCCGTGGCATCAGTCATTGCCCTGTGAGGGCAATGTCACTGCGTCGCTTATAAGCGCCGACTCGTTCATCGCGTGTGATGTCAGCAGAACGGCTTGGCTTCTGCAGTGGAAAATCAACCTGATGCCTCCTCAGCACTGCTCCGGCATGACTCAATTGTACAGTGGGAAAGGAATATAACTAAGCACCAGCACAGGTACCAAGTTCAACGCGGCACCTGCCCATGTGTCCCTAATGCTCTCTGTTTAAAAAATCGTACAGCGTCATGTAAGCTTGAGTGCATAGGCGAGTAATAAAGGCCACTTATTTTAGAGTGTGTGACCTTCATTATAATTATTTTTATTTTCCCAGGTAAGGCTCACTGAGTTATATAGTTATTTTTCAGAAATGACCTGGCCAATAAATGATTGCTCACAAAAGTGGCGTATCATGTGGACATTTATAGCGGCCAAATACTCAAAACACAATTTTCTAATTGTGGAGAAAAAAAACCAGAGGACCTGGAGAAAAAATGTATGCGACCACGGGTAGAACATGCAAACTCCAAATGGACAGCAGGCGTCAGGGTCAGGATCGAACCCACGAATTCCTGTATACCAGGGGAACTAGTTAAAAATCCCACCACCGTGGGGTATAAATCATAAGGTTAATTTGCATTTGAAATTGACTTGAAATGACGTGCAAAAGTCACGGCAAATTATGACTCGAATTTAAACAAACCTCAATAAAGCCTTGTTTAAACATTGAATTAAGCGTTTTTCGAGCCTTCTCTTTCACACCAAATAACAATGCTTTCTTCGCTATGGGGGGGAAATAACTTTTGGAAATACCAAAATGTTTCCTGCACACTTGAACTCCCAAAAGATGGAACTTGAGAAGGGTAAAAAGAATACTTAACATATTGACCCTCAGGTGGCCAGACAGGTCAAGGATCAGATCATTGAACCTGGAGTTGATTCTGGGTTTCAGACACTGTGATTAAACCAGGTTCTCGAGGGTAGTGAATTTATGGTCTCAGCCCACTCATTAATGACTGTGGAATGAAAACACCAGCAAAAGATACGTTTGGTTGCATACTTAATCTGGCCAAATTCCAGCTCGGAGAATGAACGTCATCAGTTTGAATGCCATGCGATGAACATTTCTCTGTATCAGGGTGCGTGGGAAAGTGCAGCGCCCAGACTGGGAAATCAAATACATCACTTGAAGAGCCTTCAAAGGCAGTTCTGTGACACCTCCTTCCACGGGCCATTCTCTAACAACAACACCCGGATGCACTTGCTTTGCGAGTCACACACGGACATCTTCGTCGCATGGCAGACAAAGCCGATAGCGCAGCTGAAATAGAACCGAGGGAAAAAGACAAAAAACATACGTGTACATATTCGAGTGGAGAGAGAGAAAAACAAATACGTTGACCCCCCCACCCCCCCCCCAAGAACTAACTCCCCACCGCCGTGACGTCGCTTCCCATCACTGCAGGACACACATCTCCTCGTCCTGGTGCTCCAAGGCGCCGCGTCCGGTTTCCCGGGACCTGGCCTTCCCCGTCGCCACGTCCTCGTCATCCGGGAGCCCGGCGTTCCCCTCCGCCCCGTTCCTGGCAACCGCCAGCCTCGCCACCACCTCCTGCAGAATGTCACGGCTCTCGCTGGCCGGCAAGTTGCTCATGTAGTACTGGGGAGCGAGCTGCACCATCCTGCACAGTTCGCGAACAGAAGAGAAAGAGAATTCACTGCGCATGTACAGACTCCCTCGCTTGTTGCTATCCAACGTGCTTGTCCCCCGGCGTGGTGCTGGCCTCACAACCCCCTTGTGTGCCATGCTGGCCTTCATAGGCGCTCGCTCACAGCAATTGCCGCATCAGCCCGTTTTAGCTATTTGTATTGGTAAGAGGGCGGAGATCTTTTCTGCTCGTTTCCCGGGGGACAAAAGACAACCGTGCGTCCGGCCCTGCCTGTGGCATTTTTTTTTTTTTCTGCCGAAGGCCGTGGAGAACGTACATGTCCGGCGAGATCTCGGTGGCGATGTTCAGGCAGTTGTCCTCGGAGACAGTGAAGGCGTGGTACACCACCCAGGCCGGCGGGCGCGCGCCCGGCGCCAGCTCGCGGTAGCAGCTCAGCTGGTGCAGCTGCGCCACGTGCTTGTGCGTCAGCATCAGGTAGTGTCCCGCGCCGTCAACGTCCCGGGCAACCTGCAACAGCAGCCAAAAAATGTAACAATAAAATGTTTTATATTTTATTTTGGCAACTCGGCATTGGCTAACAAGGGACTGGAGGCTGCCAAAAAGTTTCTAATGGCCTCTTAAAGGAACACCACTTCTAATAAAGACTAATGGAAAGTAGCTTAGGCTCATTAAGGCTGGACCGGAAACGTTAAAAGAGTTATGGCTAATGGCATCATATACTGCTGCTCCTTGGCCATATGGACTAACATGCCCTGTGTGTTGCTAAGATCACATTATTTGCCATTGCTAGTACGGAACTAATGATTTCTCAAAGTCAACTTTTATAAATGACTACATTGACCCAGTCAATTCTCACCTTGGGATAATTTGAAACAGGTTCTCGTACAAATGTGTACAACTTCTGCAGCATAAAAAATATAATTGGGTGTAGCCTTAGCTGAACCAAGAGCTAAGCAGAGCAAACGAACCATATTTATACAGCACTTACAAAAGAAAAAAAATGATACTCAATTTTCCATATTTTACTAATGTACATTTGTTACCACAAAGGTCACTCATATCTTAGTGCCCAAGATAAAGATGAACAGAGCGGTGGGGCAGTGGTGAGCACACTGCGCTTGGAAGCCGGCGATCTGAGTTCGATTCCCAGCTAAGATTAACACCAGTGGCAAGTAGTACTTGCACTTCTCCTAGACGTTCCCTTCACCAACCTGCACTGACCAGCAAGGTCAAGGTCAAACGAGCTACAAGATTGACACGGTGCAGGCAAGACTTCATCCAGAAGGGGATTGATAAAGGAGTTTTAAAATAACTATTGTGCGTAGATACAGCCCTCTTGTCAATCCACTGATGGATGAAGGCCTCCCCACGCCATGTTGGTCAAGAGAGCTGTTTGACCACACCCTTCACAATTGCTGGTCAGCAAAGTAATTTCACCTATAAATTAGTATTATAATTTTGATGTGTATATTACTCATCATATGTATATAAGCACATTAATTATACGTTTCGCATTTATATGGCAATTAAATGACATAGTAAATAAAAGCACCTTACATCACATTTCATCTCATACATTCAAAGGGCACCCCTGGTGGCAGCTGTCTCTGTGCAGCATAAGGTGGCTGCACCGGCCTGTAAAGTGGGCACTAGTCTGCCAGTCGAGGGCGACGATAGCCGTGCTTCATCCCATCGGTATGTATGTTGAACGTCTTTCGCAGCGTACGCAGCCGACGGTGCTAATCGGAGGTGCGGGGTAAGGACAACAAAGCAAACACAAAAAGCGGGAAACGCTTCGAAATCGGAATCCTTGGAACCGCGTGACGCCGGCACACGATGCCGTACTCGTTTCGAACGACGTCACGTCCCCGGGGATCTTTAACCTCCGCCGTGAAGCGGACGGCACGTGATCACCACTGTCAAACGCGCCTGTGGCAACGCGGATGAAGAAGCCTCACCTGCATGAAGTACCCGGACAGGAGGGCCATTCTAATACTGGCGGTGTTGTGTTCCGAGCCAAAGTTGGCCGCCGAGATGGGCAGCTCGATCCTCTGCAGGATGTCCAGCAGCTCGGCCCGGATGGCATCGGCCTGCTTCAGCACCACGGAGCTCATGTGGTTTTCCTGGCACCAGCGCTCATCTTCGTTCGCTGCGGGGAAGGAAGGGAAGAACAAAAAACGAAAACCGATTCGAAACAACAACAACAACAACCACCGTCCACTCCTCCCCATCAGCTTTGTTTCAATTAGAAAACAACACACACACAAAGACTACTGTAGATCAGCTTGCTTTTGCTCAGATTTAAATTTGCTTCAAGACTGTACATTATTTAATTAGGTTTTTGTTTTTGTCAATTTGGTGACCCAGGTAACTCTGCTGGTCTCTTGAGTTATAACTGGGGTTGAAAAAAAATTAATGTAAACTTAATGTCAGCTCAAGCATCTTCCAGCATTACGCTTGATAAACACTCGAGAGTGTACACGCATAAACCCATTCACTGAGGTTTTCAGGCTAAACCTTCCAGCACATGGACATCGAAGATTCATTAAGGTTACAAGAGACAGTTTGAATGAAGCAAACTAATCAGGCGATTTCATTGGAATTGGGGCACAAAGGCCCGCAAAAGGAAGCCCACTGTGTTCGTCAATAACAATGCTTCATCAGTGGAAAATATAGACACGTTGATAGGATGACGTTACGGGCAAGAGCCCTTCTTCAGAGCAGAAAGAGAAATAGGGCTGAGCGATGTACAGACTTGATGGCTGGAACTCGCTCTTTCTCCCGTCTTCGCATGTGAGAAAGTGTAAGAAGCAATCCCCAGATTCGAGTCGGTCAATATCTGTGGCTTCTCACTCGACCATATGCTCTCTGTGTCAAGGCAGTGTCAATGATATATGCAGCGAATTAAAAAATATATATCTTATTATCTATCAGAGAATGCCTCGAGTCTCATTTTCTGGGCAACAACCAGCGCAGCAACATCTCTCTCGCAGACTGGCTACAACGCAAGGTGACGACTAAAATCTGCAAATATCGCCCAAGTGATTAACGATCGCGCACAAACTCGACGAGCGGCAATTTTTCCATGCTGAACGAACGAAACCGGCTAGAAAACTTCAATTAGAAAGTACAACAAACAAAAACATGATACCGTTCGCAGCATGCCTTTTGGCATTCTCTTGTCTAACACTGGTTGAGATTAGGCCCTCAAGAAGGCTGTCTCTGGTGTAGACCAATCAGTTTCAAAGACAATACAAATATTACCAGAGCATGTGTTTGTTTGCATGCTCACCGCAGCTACGTGTGGTTAATAGAGGCATGATTCCTTGCAAAAGGTTTATGTTTGGTGTTCGAACATCTTAACACAAACTGTTTCATTGCCAGAAAGGGAAAAAACCTATTCTTATATATATATATAAAAAAAAATTATGCCCGATTGAAATTAAACACGATGCCGTTTAAAAAAAAAAATACAAACTTTTACCCCACCGGCTTTGAAGGCGTTGTAGATGTTGATGAGGGTGAAATGGTCCCCCTCGGTGTGAAAATGTCGGATGTGAGCAGCGTGCGCCTTCGCCTCTGCGCCTGCGGGGGGCGCCGTAAAGCAAGGGCCGGCTGTCCACAAGAATAAAAAAAACGCAGAGGAGAAAACATGTACGGGCGCTCTCAAACGACTTGTACCGTGTGCACACTGTGATCAAGCACACGCACACACGTTCCGCAACCGCGGAGGGAGCACTGTGATCCAAAAGCGTATGTTGGGGAATGTGGGCAGCACAAGGAATGCAGGGATTTGTTGTTAAATGTCATTAAATAACAACAAATCAGGGGTGCCGGGCGGTGGCGGCTATGCACGTGGCTGCCTGTAATCCAGCGCTGTAGAGGCAGCAAGGGTTGGTGGATCACACGCAGATGTTGTGAAACTCCCTTATCCCGTGGGCGTTGAGGAGGTGGCGTACACCCTGACTGGCGGTAGAGCAAGTGGACTAATCGCCATCTGTTTGCATCTGTATGGAGATTAGAGTGGTGCCTCCACCGCCCCTCGCGCGCGTGCTCCGGTTTCCTCTCACACTCGTGTATTAAACACTCATCTTTAAATGGCTGAAAACATCTTAAAATAGGAACCTCGTAAAAAAAAGTTGAAGGACTCACTGTGGCTTTCCTGGATAAGTAATGAAAAATAATAAAGTTTAAATATCAGTCGTCACATTGTCAAGTAGGACAGACGATGAAATGGCGATAATGCATTGGTCCATCATGTTATATCACCGACTGCCAAACTTTACCGACCACACAACTGAGACCCTCTGTTAACCTCTATTCATGCAGCTGTCAATATCTTCCTTACAGCGAGAGTTGGTATAACACCCTATGATTATATAAAATGTAAACCTGTATTATGTGTGTATGTTCACTCAAGCAGGAACTTGATACATTATTCGTGATTTGAAGCTTTCGTGACTGCAGGAATCCATACTTTTTGGTTCTTTCGGTAAAGTCACGTAGGTAGAAAATTCATAGATTACGACGTTTCGATCACAACACAAGCAACCGTGATCAGGTGAAACAAACACAGCAGGAGAACTGCTGACACAGGAGGATACATTATATATTATTGTTTTATTAAAGCAGGCTTGTTAAGTGTTGGGTTTGCCAAATGCGTAGGATGTCAATACTGATGCCCCAGGTGGTGGCATGAACACACATTTTCATGTTAAGGTTGTGGCGGGGAGAAGCTGTTTGTTGTGCATCCTTGCTCATATGAGCTTATGTCAGCATATGATAATTGTGTACATCTTGTGCGCTTGTTCGCATAGACACACAGTGAGCGGTAGCAAAGTGGTTAGCTCACTGGGCTACGCACCTGACGACCTGGGGTTTATTACCCAGCCATGATCAACATTAGAGGTTCATACCCGAACCGGTCCTGGGTCCTCCCCTGGATGAATAAACCTTATATGGGGGTACCTGATGCAATGCGTAAACAACAGTACTGGGGAGACAAAGGTGGCTGTGCGTGGTGGTGGTGGTGATAACACCCCTTAGTGTCCCTTGCCGGCTTTCATAGGTACACGTTGGCTGCATGTGCCCCGAGGGGGGACCTTTGAATTTGTGTAAGCGTACCGAGTGCATGGTGAAAGCAGAGAGGGACAACTGTGAATGTGGCCGACGTTCACGTGCGGAGGGGGCCCGGGTGACATGCGCACGGCACGGGCGATGCGCGATGACCGGCCGCCTTGGCTAACCTGTGAGCATGGCGGCCAGGGTGAGCATTTCCGTGACGCAGTCAAACTCGCAGCTGGCCAGCAGTGCCTTTGCCAGCTGCGGGTCCAGTGGGATCTCCGACATGATGATGCCGACCTCCGACAGGTTCCCATCGTTATCCAGCGCCGCCAGGTAGTCCAGGTCTTCCAGGGCCTGCATGAGCGCCTCCGGGGCTGAATTTTGAGCCGAAGGGAACATAACACAATTGCACCAACCATTGTTTGTTTTGCTTTTGTCAGTCTTGGTGACCCAAGCCACACTTGCAAAATGAGACTATATCCTGGTTTCTTGAGATAGCACCTGGATAAACAAAATAAACCTGAACTTGTCTGTTCAATAAGCTAGGGTTACACCAACTCCAGTGTTGACCCATCTTCTCCGTTGAAAGAGTAATTAAGTGGTCGCGCTACACGGACCTGACGACTACTGAACATAAACCATGACACGTAGATACTGCTGATTGAAATTAAGCACACTCTCTACATTATGTGGGGCATGCATGTACATAGACAAAGATCCCACCATTTAACCTTCAACAGACTGTTGGGGCAAGTGCTGTTAGCGTGCACCTTTTAAATCTGGCACGGCGCACGAGGGGGTGGTGTGGCCAGCAACATGCTTGGCCGCCTTCGTCACCCCAGTGCTGATAATTACAGCTGCACCAGGTATTTATTTAAGGCTGAAGCCCAGGACCAGTTCAAATAATCGTCACTGTCATTGGTCGTGAGCGGAAATAGAATTTCGGTCGCTAGATTGCAGATGGTCTGCTATACTACTGCATTTTCATATTAGCACATACATACAATCTCTTTGTGAATAATCATAGACAGGTAAAACAGATATCTAAGAATATATAATTATGTAGAATATAGTAGTCCATTGGCCCAATGCAGACATATATTATCCAGCAGCATTTATATGAGCACGCAAACCCTGGATGTAATTACATCTGGATACAGGACTGCGTTCTGCAGATATACACTATTACCCATCAAGTTCCTCAACAACGCGCAGAGTTCGTGCGTCTCCATTTAAATCAGTGCTCTCCGTGCCTCACGTGGCGTCTATAGCAATCATCAGGTACGTGCAGCGTGCAACAACTTGATTTGTATTTGAACGGAGAAGACTGGTAAACATGGAAGGGTGGACCGTCGTGAACCACGAGGACTGGAGTTTCGGAAACCCTGGGATAAGTCACCCGAGTTGTATCCCCAGGCCACGGCTACAATCGGTGGTGAGTGATATCCGGACACCACTTCTGTGCACCCCCCGCCACCACCACTGACCGGGGCAGTGAAGTATGGTCAAGCAACCCCCACATGACATTTACTCTATTGGGAAGGGCCTATATGCAGCAGTCGGCCTGTAAACTATTGCTTATCAGTACAACACACTCGCAAAGAGCGTGAAATATTCTTCAAGCAGTAAATATCCGATTTGCTCTTCCATCTTTCGAAGGAAATCCCATTCATGCAATTTAAACTATTTTAAACATTTGCACGTGAGTGCAGGCAAGCAAAGGCAGCATCCAAAGTGTCACATTAGCCACAGCCACTGATCCAAGTGTCCGGATACACAACGCTTGATTTTAAAAAGTCCCCCTCCCCTTCGTGCACAATCTACAGTTGCACAAACTCATGCAGGCAGGCTTTGTCGACAATCCATTAAAAATAGGCCCCTATAAATACACCACAGAACAAACGTGGACATTTAAAAGCTTTCCATCGCACTCGTGCCGTACAGTGTAGTACTTTTTTTTATTTTTGACGTTAAACCCGGGAGAGAAAATGTAAACCATTCAATACCACACCCTCGCACAGTATAACCGGTTGCATTACTTCTCCAGTGCAAGCTTTCATCTCATATGGCTACAACTGCAATGCTTAACGCGGTTACTTGAAGCTTACGTGGACCCATTGGAGCTGGATGTTTATTGTCCTCTAAGGTAGATTAACAAAACAATATTGAACATTCAGGCTATATGATGACATTTTCACGATTTAGCACAATGCACGCAATTTTTTAAACGTGCTGTATTTACAATATACTTATTTCACATCGCAGAGTGTACATTTTGCCCACCTTTTGGAACAAAACAATGGCTGCAACTTGTCTTAGTGCGATTAGCCGGGGTGGTGGCGCACGCCTATAATCCAGCACTGTGGAGGTAGCGAGGGATGGTGGACGGGACTAATACTGATGAAACCCCCTTCCCCTGGGGGTCGAGGCGCTGTACTCTGGCTCGCCAGGAGAATGAAGTTCAGCAGAAATGTGGACTCCACCTGTTCCCTCTGTATGGCATAGAGTGTTTCCCCTTCGCAGCTTCTTTCTCAGGGTATTTCGGTTTCCTTCCACATTAATTGGCCGATACCACCTTGATATATAGAGGACCACAGAGCTGGGGCAATTGTTGGCACCGGCTCACTGCATGGATGCCACCCCGTTTGTCTGTGGTTCCTCACCCCTCTGAGTACTTCCATCTCTTCGAGAGTGAGCGAATCCTGCGTGGCGCACTACAAGCGGAAATTATTACGACTGTTTGGATGCTCGTTTGCAATGTTTTGCATTCTCTTACCTGGGCGATCAACAAAGTCGCACTGGCCCATGTCCGCTATGTCCAGCCTCTTCAGCAGCAAAACCAGTCGGGTGAGGTTAGACTCCAGGACGCGTGGCGGAGGAAGCTCGGGCATCTCCTTGAAGACCGACTCTGGATACAGGCGGAAGCACTTGCCTGCTGGCCCAGCACGGACAGCGCAACAGGACGTTTGCAAAAATTATTGTTAGCAATCACAGTGGCGAGATGTTAACTCCCTCGCCTGGTATGCGGGAGGTCAAGGGTTAGATCCTGACCCCTACGCCTGTATATTTGGAGTTTGCATGTCCTCTCCGTGGTCCAGCGGATGTTTCTCCGGGTCCTCCTGTCTTTCCCTTCACATTTAGAACCATGCGTTTACAGTATTTGGCTGCTATATACATTTCCACATGATAAGCCACGTGGTTGAGCTATCATTTGTGGTCAGGTCGCTTCTGAAAATTAGCTTCATAGCTCAGTGGACCTTACCTAGTAAAATAAACATTAAGTTTCAAATAATTATAGATTTTTCACTTATGACAGAAGATAATTTAGACATATAAATTATGTTAGGCGACAGGGTGGTGCAATGGCAGCATGTGTGCCTCACAGCAAGAGGAGTCTGGGTAAAATTCCTGACTCAAGCACCTTTTTGTGCAAAGATTGTATGTTCTTTCCTTGTTCTATAAAGTGCTGAGTGAGTGAGTTTTGTGAATGAGTACTTGAGGGTTAATGACAATAATTCTGGCATTGAACTACTACGTGGCTGACAAATATTAATAATTTTGAAGGCTACAAAAATCATTAAGTATTTTTATGCTTTTCTGGCTGCCTTGAGCCAATTTTCTTGCAACCTTGTCCATTGCCTCTGCTCGCCTAATCAAGTCACTTTGCGTTCCAGAAATTACATTCAACACTTTGTATATTGTAATTATTAAATGTGCAAATTCACCTCCTTTTTCGAAGCAAAGTTTATTTGTTTTTAACTAAATTATAAAAAAAAATCCCTTTAGATCTGTCAAATTGAAAACGCTTACAAATTATTCCGTGTACTCAAAATTACTTTCCTGCAACCCAGGTCGCCCTTGCGAAAGGAGGCAATATCGTTCCATGCATCTCAATGGGTTTCAATCACCCCCTTGTTAAAGCGAGTGGACACCTGACTTGAGCGACCACCATCGACGTGTTTGCGAGAGAGCAGAACGTGCGAGGCCATCGCCGCATGCAGGAGGGCCTGCCAGCAAGGGTCATCGCGGAAATTAAACGTCGCGCAAGGTTGGCGCGCGGCGTGTGTTGCCTTTGTGATAATCGAGCCGCCAAACGGGTCGACGAAGGAACCCGCCCCGCCGTGACTGTACCTCCCGCGGCTCGCTTCCTCCTCATCTCCGCTTGGCTTCTGCTGATAGGACGGACGACCTGCGAGTCGGCGCGGATCCTGGGGTTGTACACCTGCCGCAAAAAAACACAGACCCCTGATAAGACCGAGCAACACCGAGCGACACCGCACGTCTATTTGAGCGACGGGAAGGCATGCCAAGGCTTAGGTTGTTAAAATGCCATACTGCAAACAACTACCAGTACGGCAGTTTATTTGTTCTGGAAGTCTGACAAATGCTGATGAGACCTCAAAGGTCGAAACTGGTCCTGAAGTGTAGGGGGAAAGGTAATGTTACACGACTGTCTGTAACAAATTATACCGGCGTCACAATTCACAATTGTATTTAAATATAGGTGCATTTTTTTACAAATAGAACTGGTTCAACAGCTATTTTTGTAAAGAATCTAAAAAAACAACTTACATCCTTCATATTCTGATTAAGACAGACGCTATACTTAAAACAAAAATAAGACCAAAATTCCACCAAATCACAAACAATTATAATCAGGATGCTTATGTCAAACACAGTCCATTAATCACAGCACTCAACGCCCGTTATTGGCCGTGGAAGGGAAAAAGGTTACTTAAATTAGTCTAAAAACAGGGCAGAATACGATTTAGATAACTTTCGTTAATTCTCCTACTTCTTACTGTAAACAAAACGCGCATTGCTGTTGACGCTCTTTTGCATCATCTCACATTTTTGGTCTCCAATCCCGAGTCAATGACAAAGCGAACGCCTTCGAAGGAGAACGCCGACTCGGCAATGCCGCTGGACAGCACCACCCTGCGCCGCCGGCCCCGCACGCCCAGGAAGCCGCCGCCGCCGCTAGCGCCGCCGCCGCCGCCGCCGCCGCCCCCGCGCCCCTTCGCAGTCGCCGCGGCGCCTCCCGCGTCGTAGAGGGCGCCCGCGCCGCCCGGGTGTCCCGGCAGCAGCGGCACCAGCCGCAGTTCCCCCAGCGCCGGCGACAGCTGGCGGGCCTCGCGGCGCGCCTGCTCGTACGCCGTGCTCGCGTCCTGCCCGGCGGCACGAGCGACACAGGGCGGGGGGGGGGAGAGGCACGGACAGCAGGCTGAGAACTCGGCAGTGCGTTGTGGTCACGGTGCTCGGGACCGCTTGGGCATCCGTGCGCCGCCGGTGCTCAATCTGCTCGCTCGGCTGACCCGCCGTCCCCACTGGGCGTCTCTGAAAAAGAGCTTCGCGGCTCATCGGATTCCACCAGGATACATAACGATTCTGGTTGAAAGATTCGGATTCACTCGCACGCGGCGCTCGTGTCCCGAGTGGGTGGCTATAAGCATGGGGAGGGGGGCGGCACACGCGCACAGTGGGTGAGAACCAAGCACGGGGATGCATTGGGGGCTACGGAGGTCGACGCGGTTTGTTGTAGAGCATGGTGAATTGCTAAGGTGGTCGGATGCATTACACGTACAGGTATAGGCACCCTGCCATTTGGGCTGGAAAGTAGGTCAGAGTTCATATGATGCTCCCACTGGGATAAAGGTGAAAGTGCTTGGTGGTATGAAGAAATACTGTATATGCAAATGTATATGAAGGTCTGTCTAGGATTTGTAATGCGAATGTTATGGTCTGATGGGCTTCATGGCATTTATCTGAGAAATCAATGTACCGGAAAATAACTTGGAATACACTTTTGTAAATTTAAAATAGAATAACATTAAAATTGGCTGCCAAAAATGCTTTTTTTTACATTTCCAACCAGAAGCTGGCATAACAAAGACATAAAAATGCACAATTGGATGAATTCATTAAATAACAATGTTAATAATAACAATTCCCTTTATTTACCCAGGAAAGCCTCAACGAGTCTCAAGACTGTTTTCTGGATGGTCCTGCGTCGGGATGTTTGACAAATTCCATTAATGAGTGTTTAACATGCTGTATGATTCCGGAGAACCCAGAGAAAACCCACATATCGTTGGGCATAACATTCAAATCTCTGCACAAATTGATTCAACAATACCAAGAGATACGATTAAACAAATACAAAAATTGATGCAAAAAGTCCATATGAGGGATCATCTGTACAATGCAGCCTTGCTACCCTGCACAACACATTTTAAGGGATCAAAAGGTAAAGGCACAGCCATTGTAACTGTTTGCTCAGACTATTGCCGGTGGAAGGGCTTCCACAAGAGAGCTCCTCTAGAGGGCATGTGGCTTACTGTGTCACGCTGCGCAGATGTCTTGTAAGAGGTGGGAGTACCCACACTAACCCCACCACACACGACCTGTAGATAATGGCAGGCTAACTGTGGATAATGGGGGTTCGGGATGAGTGGAGTTAAGAAACTTGCACATTGATTCAACTGCCACCCTCGGGATATCGGTCAAAGCCGAAATCTATAGATTGCGACTCAAGTGTGCCAACCATTACACCACGACAGCATTGCTTTGTACAGACTGCTGTGCATTAACTCGGTACCAATTCAATTAATGGTGAACGCTAGAAAATATCGTGCTGTTGTTGAAAACAATGTGATACTGTGGAGCCCACTGGGACTCTGCAGGAGAAGTGAACTGGTATAAAAACATAATTCAGTATTCTGCATCGCTGCAGCAGAACAATGGAGGCATTTACATGCATGCCGTGAGGTTATGAATACAAACACGAATGGAATGAGGCTCGGAAACACAGAATGGTCTGCGAATTCAGCACATGCCACTTATAATATACAGTGGATGTGTAACAATACATGAAAGTGTTTCACATATTCAAATATGTAAATCTCTATTTTTTTTTATTTGTAATGAATGACCACCATTTAATTAAGTAAAAATGGGGAGGGGAAAAAAATAGACTATCCATAGCCATGTGCATGCACTTATGTATTCATTACATTTAAATGACAAATATGAAGAAGATAAATAGATTTAAATATTTGTTTCAGTGGCCACATTCGCACATTTTCGGACTTAGGATGAATGTTAAAAAAGGATTCTCATTTCGAAGATGGAATATAAATCTCGCATGAAATGCTAATCATTAAAAAAAATTTCATGACAAGCTCACCGGACACAAGTCGGTATGTTCAAGGTGGTAAAGTTGAGGACAAAACGACGTAAAAACTATTTCAAATTAGTTTAAAAATTAAATGCTGCATTCTTAAACATATAGCTCCATAAAACATAGCGAGCCATATAACATAGATATCCATTTACAACGCTACAGTGCAGGTTTTCACGGTGGCGCTGTACAGATCTCTGCTGTGTTTCGGGGTTGTGCCGTATGCTATTCGACAAGATCTCTGACGTTTGGCACCACGCTCAAGTTCATGAAGAAGCTCCCACCCAGCACGCGGAACAAAACGTCGGGCATCGGTGCAGAACGGCACGAGGGTAACAACCCGAAAACACACCTGAGATCCATTAAGAACACCTGCGTTTGTAGTGTTAAAAGGCTGCTGGCAAGCACTGAAACAACTATTGGCACAGTGACATCACCATTTTATGGCTTCGACTCTGTTGCACTTTGTCACTCAACCAAATCAAGCAACGCCGGATGGTTTTGTTTCAAACATTGCGCAAGACAGATGCAAGAGGTGCTCTGTTAGTTTCAACAGTACAAGGACTGAACGTTTTATCGCTTCGTACACAAAGCAACATTAGCCACGAATTGTACGAGCCTCAGCAAAAAATATAGAATCTTTCACCCAACAGGTCACGTGAATTTATACTTTCATTGGATAGAATTGTTTAAATGTGCACAATAAATCTAGCAAACAAACATTCTTTATTTAAGAACTGTTTGTGTTGTGTGGGATTAAATGTCTCAACACAGTGGAACATCCTTATAATGGTCCCGCTTGTTGAGTGTTTTTCCCCATACGAAATATTCCACCTTTTGTACTCCCCGTTAATGCAATTAGACGCAATGTTCCCGAATGAACATTTTCTTGGCCGGTTCCCCTGAACAATATTAAATCAAGGGGAACACGCGTGGAATAAGTAACAGGCTAACAGAGAAAATACCGAGAATTTTGGATTTGCGCTTTGGCTCTTCGTGCCACATGGACACTTCACAGAGAGGACACCAGACCATATCAAAGTGTTTGAGACGCAATGCTGGATGAGAATGGAAAGGAGGGGCTGACAGAGGAAAAAGACAAAGGGGACCTATGGATAATTGATATTAAAAAAAATACGTAATGAACACGACTGGAATGCAGATGAAATCGAATGGGACACATCGTGAGAGAGGGCAGTCTGCTAAAATATATAACAGATGGGTGGATGGAGGGAAAGAAGACAGTCGTCTGCAGAACACACACTATTTTTTGACAGCATGACTGAGGAGGCAGGCATGAAAATATGAAAGCTTAAATGAAGGAAAAGCTGGTTCGTCAAGCAAAAAGGCGGAATGACGGTGGAATTATTTATTAACTGACCTGGCCAACAGGCTCACCCCTGAATAATAACAATTAAATGTTGAGATATGTAAAACCAAACAATGGGTACAATACAATCTGGTGTTATTGGTCTGGAAGCATCAACCGGCCGATAAGTCAAAAATAACTTCTTTATATGTGGAGACATACGATGGAGTTCTGCTTAAGCGTTATCAACCGTAATGGCCCACAACAAGACACGAGTTTGTTTACAATAGTTTTTTTGTGCAGAACAGGGGCTCCACCGTATAGATGGAGTGCTCTTGCAAATAACATCTGGCAACCCAGCAGCATTCATTTAAGCAAGCATGACTGCAGATGAGAAGCAAAATGTTGAAACCAGTCCAGAGTTTGCGTGCTTAAACAAATACGTCTGGATAATATTTGGATGGAAAGCCGAACGGCAGATGATTAAAAAATATATATCACTTGTAAGTGGAGACACAAACCAGAGGTCTGTTCATATGTTATTACACTGGGGTTGAGTTACCTTGTCAGAGGGCAGGAACACCAACACGTCTCCCGGCTGAGCTGCACGATGGATTTCCAACACCAGCTTAACGGCTGCTCGCACCACGTCCCTCTGCTCCGTCTCTACGCCAGTGTACACCAACTGTCCCTGCTGACCCACCACTTCTCCTGCAAGCGCCAAATGCACATCCACGACTTTAGCCACGTGGATTTGCGTGTATGCATGTTGACCTTCTTTAGTAACGTACGTGGGCAAACGTGCGCATCGGAGGTGCGCGGGAAGGACAACAAACTCGGAATCCTAGCACGACCGTCCGGGTTGGGCCGTCTCGAGCGTTTCTGCTCTCGAGCGTTTCTCCGCGCAAGAGCGTGGGGCATCTCGGGCAGTTGAACATGCCGGCACGCTTGGACAAAATGCGGGTTTGGTTTGACCGTGCCTCGTTCGAGCCGTACGGGTGGTTGAAGCACCAAGGGGAAGTTAAAGATCCCCCTGATATCGTTCGCTACAGCAGGCCACTATATGCCGGTAGCCAGTGCCCAATTTTGCCGAATTCAAAAACTACCCGTGAATTACTCAATTGGGATCATACATAGCCATCACCGCTCCCTACTGGCAGACTAATGCCCCAGGTCACTCTTGCCAATGAGGCTATCCTCGTCTCTTTACAGTCCTCGTCCTCACCTGACTAAACAAAGTAAACTTGAACCCCCGCTAGGCGCTACTTTTTGGGGTGTTCACGTCAACACAAGAGATTTCACCGAGGGGCCACCGGACGTCGAGTCGACCTCCCGGTATGATCGGCAACGTGCCTACCATTGTTAATTTTCTTACGGCTGAACAAAAGTCAAGGTTGTGGGATACTCATTAAAGCACGAGTCATGTTAGGTTACATCATTTTTGTTAAACGGTTTGGTATCAAGACGGTCAGCGTGCCTAGGGCACTTGTCACTGGATCACAATGTTGCCCGTGTTATCTCCCATGCCGTGTGGCAATTCCGCCAGGCCTTGTGTTCAGTGAACACTAAAGACCCAGAGACATCATTGCAAGGTAATTTTTCAAAAGAAGATTATTTTCTGTTGCCAAGCATTTTTTTAAAAGAACACTAAAAAAGAGCATCCACTTGCGTATGTACGAAATCCTTAATTACATTACTCTACTTAAAACGTATGCTAAATAGAGTAAAACATTCAAGAGATCAATGAGATCCCATTATTTCAGAAAATGATACAAGTGCAGCGATTATTGTGCAAGGAAGGGCTGTGTACAATCATCGAAGAGACGCAAGGTAAGTATCCAAGCCAGGTGTTCTATTTAATGCAGGCAGCTTGGATTACAGACAAGACCAGAAAGCTCATTAAGCTTGGTCGACAATCCCACTGATAATCACGTTAAAAGTTACCGCTATGAACCGCACTCAACAGGGGAAAGTGAGATTTGAAGCTCTAATAGTCCCACTGCTTCCCTGCTCAAATGAGCACTGAGGTAATGCTCATCTCGAGGACACAACCCTGGGCCAGGAGCAACCAGTGTCGACTTCCCCACAAAGTTGTACTAATTTTATCTACCCCAGAGAGAAGATTTTGTTTTCCTCGCAGTTACACAACATTTAATTTTTGTATTCACTGTTAATGAACACAGGCCTAGAGGCCCGAATTGCCAAGTGGCAAAAAACAAACAGCACGAATTAAAAGTTTTCATCGACAAGAGTTTAATATGTTCCTTGAAATGAGCAAGGTGATAACAACTTTGGTAGACATAGGATGGGAGGGAATTCCAAAGTTGAGTGATGGAAAAATCAGAAACAAGTGTTTTTAACTGCAGTTGAACAGAGTATGGATGATATGAAACGGTGAGTCTGGTAGACTGAGTCCACAACATGAGTGGAGAAAACACTGAGAGAAGTTCACGGGAACAGCAACCATGGTGGTATCGACAAAAGATTGCTAGGGAAGACACTGACCACCTGTGAGTGACTGCAGTAAAGCAGTGAGGGCTGGATCATCAACATACACAGTGAGGTTGGAAATGGATGAGCTATCACAGACATACATAATTATTCCTTCGTGGAGCATTTGAAAAGCACTCATAAACACATTACAGTTATATGTTGAGTTTGGTAATCCATTCGTTGGCATCGGGAATTGCTCGATGTATCATAGCGATCAAACCTATGTAAGCACATCATGGGGCAGCGTTCAGTTATGTGATGATCAGATCACGCTTCACCACATACCCAACAGGGAGACCCTTTCATTGTCCCGCTTATGAAGTGAAATATCCGCAATGCTGTATGGCAGCAACTGCACCGAAACGCCCGCATGAATCCACGGCGAGAAAACCTTTACCTGCAGAACAGGCGTGGTCATCGCCGCCGCCGCCGCTCCTGTCGGCGGAGGAGCAGGAGGTAGAGGACGGCACCGGCGGGTCGAGCCGTATCCACGGCACGTCCCCGTAGTAGCGGTGCAGGGCCTCGGCGGCGCACGGCGTGGCCACGAGCACCACCCGCAGGCCCGGTCGCTGGCGGCCGACGTCCCGCAGCAGGCCCATGAGCACGTCGGTGGACAGAGATCGCTCCTGTACCTCGTCCAGCACGATGGCGCCGTAGCGATCCAGCTGGGGGTCCGACGTGAGCTCCCGCAGCAGCATCTCGTCCGTCGTGAACCTGAGGGTGCAGGCGGGGCCCCCTTTGTTATTGCAAAAGATAACAGGTGCAAGCCTACAATTGCTTGTTCAGATCACTGCTGGTGAAAGGCCTTCCACTATGCATACATGCTGAACTTCTTTCACACCGTACATAGCCAACCATGCTAATCGTAGGTATGGGGAAGGACAACAAACTAAACACAAAAAGCAGTTCTAAAGAAATCAGTTTTTAATCTAGATTTAGAAGTACATAGCTCGAGTAGCTAACCCAATATCGGAAGGAAGAGCATTCCATTATTACAACTTACTTCTCTACGGGACATCTGACAAAAAACATTATCAAGCTAGTGTGAGGGGGGCTTCTAGAGTGCTCCTCTAGAGAGGGTATCTTTTCACGCTGGCCAGATGTCTTTTAAAACGTGTGAGTTCCCACATTTTACCCCACCACACGCAAGCTGCCGATTAACTAACTGTGGCTAAACTCATTTATACTGCTGGGTAGACAGCCGAGAAAATTTGCTCCATTGTTTCAACTTCCGTGCCAGGAGATTAAGTGGAACCGGTGAACTCTGCATTGCAAGTCCAGTGTGCTGCTAGGTTAAGTAGAAGCTTTGAAATAAAATGCTTTCTCTAAAATTTCTCTAAATATTATTATAGAGGGGTATCTATAAATGCATCAACCTGTATATTTTTTTACATGAAACTAAAATTTCCTATTTTGCATGACAATGGAAGTGTGTAGTTATGTTCGAAATGCAATGCTGGAATAACCCAATGTTAATGGAGCAATCCACGTGGCCAGTTTGCACAATATAAGGTTTCAAGTCCGCAGTCAGCAGATACCTCCATCATAAAATTACCCAGGCATGGCGTGTAGAGGTTAAAGACCCCCGTGGCATCACAAATAAAATGGCAATTATTTACCCAGGAAAGTATCACTGAGTACCAAGGCTCTTTTTTTTAGGAGGTTCCTGCTACATTGGGATGTTTAGCCAATTTCACTTGGCTTCATATAAGGAAACCGTACCTTTCACAGTACACATTGTATTTTCATCGCGTCGTACACACACAGATCCAACTCATCGTCATCAGTCATGATTTAACTATTTCCCAATGAAGGCCTCCCCAGTGCATCACATCCCTCACAGTCTTGAGATACCAGAATCCATCTTGCTCCTTCACCCGAGACAATCTCATTGTTTTATCAGCAAAATCATTGAGGTCTTCATCTCGGTCGTGTTTTCTCCTTTGGCTTGTCCACACCAGCCATCATTGGGACTAGCGATGTGTTCTACCCAAGCCCTGAGGCCTCTAATGTGCCTTTGTATTCTGAACCATGTGCTCATCGGCAAGTGTTTGCCTTTCATATTTCACCATCAAATCAGAAGCATTTAAACGTCACAATGATTGAGAGTTTTTCTTTCATTCGAATGGCTTATTCAGACATAAAAGAGCATTCTAAAATCCCTGCATGCGGATACAGTTTGACATTCATCCGACAGCAAAAGTCCGCCCACTGCCTCCAATCAGCACGGCTGTTCTTTGGACCTTTCAATCACGTGCCTCGCTGCCACAACATATGTTAACATTGTCGGCTAGTCTCACAGCGTGTGGCACTGGGGGTTTTATTGATGAGGAAATATGTGCTATGATATCTATTGTACACAGGGTGAACAAAAAAAATATATCATCCACAGAATCCCAAACTGAGGGCATTATCTCTCTTGCTGTGCAATCCATGGGCGTTTCTGAGCCATGCCAATCCTGTTTGAGAACAGCCCAGCCCAATTTCCTGTCCCAACAAGCTAACGCAAAAGCTAGTCCCCTCCCCTCTGTTGCTCCACATCTCCTCACCCTCTCCCATCAAGAAGGAAGTGATCGAACATTTAACAAGATTTATAACGCATGTTTGGGGTTAGCTTACACTCACCCAAAACAATAACAACGAGCTAATTATATATTTTATTTATACGGAAAAATTACAATAAGCTTGCCTAAGCGAGCGACGCTATTGGCTGCAGGTGTCTCTTTAGCGATGACCCTGCGTCAGGAACGACCGCATTCGAAGACTGCTGAAAATAGGTAGCCCCCTTCGGCACTCGGCCCAGAATCACCCAAGCCACGTGAGCCGCGTAAGCCTCACAGGCTGCCTTGCGAATCCGGTCTATTTAATGGGTCACGTGACCACAGCGAATGTGAACACTGCGTTGAGCCCCTTGCTGTGTAACTGATTTGAGTAAAAACAACATCGCACCCTTAAAACACAGAGAATTTAATCTGCAATAAACACAAACTCGCAGGAGAGTATGTTTAGAGTATGTGAGTCTTCATATCTGCTTCGTTGTTAGCCTGGGTAGATCTTGTAGCATGTGCGAGTCCGTATGCGACGTTCAAATCCAATTACGTTTTCAGCACCTGCATGAATTTGGTTTTATTTTATGTGCATGCCCTAGCACCTTTTCTTATAAGTGCTGATTTTCCCAGAGGGAGTCCGCCCTCTCACTGCGAAGAACATCCTCCGTTCTACGCAAAGGCACCGATATAATTAGACCACCCAGTAATTCAATTAAAATATTCGGACCCCAGTTTATTGCTACAATGCCCAACATTACAAGGTGTTCAATTTGGATCTATATATAAACTGCAATCAGTGAAACATTTTAACATCCCGTACGTATCCCCTTGTGACAACATTACCACAAAGAATACAGATCAAAGAGCATATGCTCTTTGATCTGTATTAGTTTCTCAGAAAAAAATGATATCTAAATTAAACTCAATTGCAGGCTGCTCAATTGCATGGCAAACCATGCAGAGTATGTACTTTGAAAGTCAAACATTAAGTCCTAATTCAGTGGCTTCTGAGTAATTTCTACTACCACTTAATTGATACATATTGAGCAACACACTCAGGATATACATTAAATAAATTACGGGTTCATAAAATAATGTGTCGTAATGCTGCTATTTATAGTTTACTGTCATCACTCCACCTCTTTGGGAGATGTCCACTCGGGAGGGTACGTGCCTGAGAGGATGCCTACCCAGTGAATCGAGTAATGAAATCAGCTCGTGTGCAGGTGCGAGGTGGATGATCACGTCAAAGAACCGTGACAGATTGTGACAGCTTGACGAGGCCTTCGTTGACCAGTGGATCGTTCTTCTACCGATCTGCTGTATCGGTTGCCCACATTTCACATGCATGCATTGCATGTGAAGTCACCCAGTACTGGCGGACAGCATTTAACCAGTATTATAGCAAAGGCCCAAAATCGCAGAGAGTGGCGTATGTATGTTTAACTTCTTTCGCATCGTACGTAGCCAACCATGCTAATCGGAGGTGCGTAGCGTCATCGTCGATATCACGCACACTCGGTAAAGAGCAGGATGACAAACAGCGAGAGAGAAGACGAGAGGGCGGTCTCAACTCTTGTACTCGACCCCCCTGCCCCCCCAACCCCGAGGTGGCGAGCTCACCTCAGGATCGTGTCCGTCGTGCAGCAGTCCTCGAAAGGCACCGAGTAGCCAACCTCGTGGCCGACGTTAAGGTCCATCTCGTCGGCGACGCGCACCGCCAAGCTGGTGGCGGCCATGGCGTGTGGTTGCGCGCACACCACCGTGCCATGCTCGCATTCCCGCGACAGTGCAAACTCCGCGCACCACTGCGGGATCTGCACGCCGCAAGCACGCACGGGGGTGGGGAAGACACACTTGGTTGATTCACAAGTGCGTGGCGGTTTGGCCTCCAATATCCGGCGAGTTCCGAAACAAACTATAGAGCGGACACCGAGAGAAGGTAATGGGAAGCAGGGTAGGAGTGCGAAGGAGATGGCAGAATGAAATCAAAGGGTTCGGAGGCCACGAGTGGATAGATGCCACTCAGGAAAGGAACTGAAGAAGATGGGGGAGGAGGCCTTTGCCCAGCATATTGAGGGAGGGGGGGGGGAGGGCTCAGTGATGGTGCAGTGGTTAGCCCACTGTGGAATTAATTTGGAGACCTGAGTTCAATTCCCAGCCATGGCTAGCATTAGTGGCGAGTTATATCTGTACCGAACAGAGACGATCCACTTCACCACCCTAAACTGATAGGTGTAGTGCTGTTTTATCCAACAACACCCAAGACTGACACGGTGTCGAAAGGCCTTCGTCTAGCAGTGGATTGACAGGGGGGTGTGCGTTATTGTTTTTTTGCGTTATATGTAATGGATTGACATAAACCTTGCAGCCACGAGAGGCCTCTGACATTCACCACCATGTCAAAAAAAAATTGACTCTCGAATCAATGTAATCGTTACCCTTAATCGAATCACACGGGGCTAAATCGTTACAATCCAAGTGGCATGTTGCCCTCGGCCTCCAAAAACCTTTTGACGATCCTGAGGGCATATGCAATACAGTACAAAGCCGCATATCCACTCGTGACATATCCACCCTGACAAATTAACCACCCACACCCAGTGCAGTATTTGTGCATACTGTAAATATCATTCTCAGTAGATGTTCACAAATCTGACCTCTTCAAATACAGTCATGAATTCTTAATGTCGCATACATGCGGTTACTTCTAAACTACAGTAAAATATTTCCTATGTTAAAATCAGTTGGAACTTTAACTTTGCCAAGTAACCGATTAGTACAGTTGGCTACGTACGATGCGAAAGAAGTTCAACATACATACATTTGTTCGTGGTGTGTCATTTTTTACAGATTGATTTCCTGCTCAAATGAGCAGAGGCACTGTTGTAAATTCTACATTCCAATGGCGGGGGGCGAGTCTATCCATAGGACAACAACTGTTGCCTTCTCCACGAACTGGTACCTATTTTATCCACCCCAGAGGAATGATGGGCCGAGTCAACCCCCGGCGAGAATTTCAACCGGCAACCTTCCGAAATGCGAGCTGCTTGTTCTTCCGCCGAGCCCACCACAGATGTTCACGTATCCGACCTCATCACATATAGGCCCTCACCAAAGTTCCCCGGCGAGACAGACACGCGACATTACACTGTCAACGAAATGAATCTCAGTAAAAGCACGTCACCTGTGTGCTCTTGCCGACGCCGGGCTCCCCGGACACGAGTATGACGGGGTAGCTCGCGATGCGCTCTCGGAACATCTCGCGGGCGCCCCACACGGGCAGCGCTCGCCTCGCCTTCAGCAGCGCGTAGTAGCGCGACGAGAAGGGCAGCCCATCAAATGGGTTGCTCTCCATCGCGGTCGCGGAGCCGCAGCCCAGGTCCTCATGGTCTCCGTTGTCGATCTCCAGGTCGAGGTCCTCGTCGGCGTCGATGGCGCCTTCCGCGCCATCGTGGTGGCCGCCTCCGTTGACGTGGACCGCGGCAGTGCCGGCGGGAAGATCGTGGTCATCGTCGGCGTTGTTGTCCGCCGCGGGTTTATCTTGCGCGAGATGTTGATCGCATTCTGCCATTGCGCCTGAGTGCTGTTGTTATATCTTGGCAGAGGCGCCCATACCACACCTGAAAAATTTAATTTTAGATGTACCAAACAACAACAACATATTCTTGATAACGTATTGGTAGTGGTACACAAGCACAAATAAAATACGAATTAAAAATATTCCTCAATAATGCTACCCTAAAAAGTAAAATAATATATAACAGGCAGCATTTTGTGCAATGGCATTGTTTGCTTGCGGGGAGAATGGCCATATTTTATGAATTGTTGTGTTCAGTTTTTATATTTCATAGTTTTATTACACCACGAAGTGACCTTCAATGAGCCCTACCCTCGTCTGATTTCAGAAAAAAGCAGGGTTGTGTGTGGTTAGTATGCGCATGGCAGATTGCCTGTGGTTACTAGATGCTGATGGTTTGGGTTAAGAGGTGGCCAGGAGAAAGCAGTAGAGCATCTGATTATTTATTCTATCCGTGTGGAGCTTTGAATTATGTCCCCTCTTATGGTGAGATCTCTCCAGGCACTCAGATTTTCTCCCACATGCCACTGACGAATGAAACGATAAACATCAAAATGCTGGACACTGCCGAACACGAGTTTTGAGACTGCTTAAGTTTTTTTTCTGGTTAATTAAACGCCGTGATTATTGGTTGTTATCGTGTTAATGATTAAAATGCATTCAAAACTTCCAAAGGGCTTTGCACCACGTTCGTTTGTCACGAAATCTGCCGACACTTGACAAAAGGACATCTTCACTGTACCACAGACACGTGGTTTGTAAACAGTAAAATCACGACGGCTGTATTCCTGCTGGAGTGGCTTTTTAACAACCGATCATGGCTACAGCAAAAAAACACGTGAAGCGTACCATTCGTGTTATTTTCAGTGCCGTTACAAATGTGTAACTGCAGATCTTTCGGTACAATGTGCCTGCCAACGAAATACTCACACATGAGCGGCGGACAGTGGTGTCCCAAAATTATAGTTTAAAGCAGCATGCCGCCGATGCCATTCTATACAAAAACACAATTGCCAAAAGACCCTTCAAATACCAGCCGACCAAAGACACGGTTGCATAACTTGACCAATGTTTGTGATACACCCGATAATGTGGGTCAGTGTTCTCACTGTAAACAGCTACACAGACAAAAAAGCAGGAACACATTTATATAAATATTTTAAATTACCCAGGTAAATGAGACTAGGAACGTTTTAAAGAAAAGATAATGCAGCTATGGGTGCATACTGCCCGTTATAACATGTGTATCAGAAACAGTCACTGGGAAATAACATTGAACAAGAGCCTACAAAGTGTGCGAAGACGCATCCAGCGGTGCATGTTATAATTACACTGAGACAGAACACGAATGCAAATTGGATAGAACATAATGACTGTTAATAAAAGCAAAGGGCCATCACATACGGGATGGCCAATGACCAAGAATTATGATGGAGTGCCAACAGCAAAGGAGCGAAAAGCGCCCGCAGACGGAGTGATGAAATTAGCTCAGCCACAGGGACTATCCCTCTGTCACAAGACAGAGGGATTGTGATGATAAGGGGGCAGGCATTCATCCAGCAGTGGAAAAGATCACGGCTGAGGCCGATGACTATTAAGCCCGGTATTGTAGTAGGCCAGTGCACGTTAACGTTCAAATCTAAAACGCAAATAATTGAATGAATGGGCATCTGTGGCCACTTAAGCAACAGGTGTTCTTGTCAGGGTTTTTAAAAAACAAACAAGTCATCGCCTGCCCATCAAGAATCCACCAAAGACCAGGGCGTCCACCCATTTCAAACAAAGCCTCATTTACACAAGAAAACAGCACAGGGCCTGCGAGGTCACATGGCCACGACAGCAGTGGACAAATCCACAGCAGTGGGCAGCTAAAAGCCCCCTTTCTCTCTACATTAACGACCCAACATCAGTCGCACGGGTTCTCACATCCACAATAAAGCAATAAGCCACGCAGTCCTCTGTCCTGTCCTTTGGTCATACCACTACTGGATGACTGGATGAGGACCTCTAAGCAGGTCGCCCTCTGCCTTAACAAATCCACACTGACCATCGACGGTCAAGTGTGTACGGTCAAATAGCAACCACATCGGCCACGACATCACTTAATATAGTGACATCACCTTTATATACTGCAGGTTGTACTGTACCGTATAGTGTACAAAGCCATCTTATGTTTGTCAATTACATTCAGTGTGCGCAATGCATATCAATAGAATTTGTTTCTGATCCACTGAATAATCACAGAACTGTATACCAACCATGTCCTTCATCATATACTGTACAATGTAAAATGACATTTGATATATTGACATCCGCATATACACCTGGAACAATCATTGTGTGTTATCATACCGGTGCTGTTAACGCACCAAAAAAAAAAGACTGATCCCTTGAACAGCCTTAAAGGGGGTAAGCGCTGTTAGCGAGCACCCTATGAAGACCCGAACGGTACAGTACATGAGGGGGTGGGCCAGCACCAGCACCCGACCGCCTTTGTCTCCCCGGTAGCGATGCTAACACACAGCACCAGGTAATTAATTTAAGGCCGAGTCGGCCTAGGGGAGCCCCAGGACGGGTGGAGATAACCGTCAGCGGTGGTGGCCGTGAGCGGGAATCGAACTCGGGTCGCCGGGTTCGTAGCGCAGCGTGGCGCTAACCGCTCCCACCACACCACTCAACACCACACACCACCCAACACCATACACTACACACCACCCAACACCACACACCACCCAACACCACACACCACCCAACACCACACACCACCCAACACCACACACCACCCAACACCACAAACCACCCAACACCACACACCACCCAACACCACACACCACCCAACACCACACACCACCCAACACCACACACCACCCAACACCACCACACACCACCATACACACACACACGGGCGCGTCTCTACATCCCTCTCGGATAAATCACGCATTATAAATGTTACGCCCTTGCCAAACATCGTTTGAACAACAACAGCACGCACCACCCCGAACCACCACAACAACAACAACCACCACCGCCGCCACCACCCCCGTTTACCACTCCCGCAGCCCAGGTAAATCTCACGACAGCAACGAGGCGAGAGAATAAGGCGAACGAAAGAGACCCGGACACAAGGAGTAAGGAGTAGGAATGAGAGCGACCATTAGGACAGGTGCTCGCTCACATTAAACACCGAGCAACAGCTGTCATTACAAAGTCGTGACGTAACCGCCGCAGTGATACACTCCTCCCCGACACATCCCACTTACAATTGTTATCACGTACAACGATTATTACACATTGTGTTATGTTATATTTGTGTATAGCGCGCGCGCGTGTGTGTGGTGTACACATTGCGTCGTTACCATAGCCCGTTGGCCCTGACGCACACGTGGGCAATGTAACGTGGCCAGCCCACCGCGCACGTCTCTGCGGGTCTCCGTGCTGGGGGAGGCTCCGCCCACTTACATATGTGGCCACGCCCCCTCCAGCGTAAGCCACGCCCATCCCGTGGCGAACCGCCGCTCATTAATTAACATATCTTTTTTACCAGGCCCATGAATTAATTATGCTAATGTTGACGGACTTTATACTGCACTGTACCGTGCGTTCGTCAATAACATTGTTGTGGCCTTAAGAGTAAAAAAATATATAAAACTACAAATGTAATTGACAGGTTAATAAAACATTAATGTCATGAAAATAGACTAAAATTGTAAGATTGTATTGCATTTATTTAATCAAAAATATCTCTACACAGTATCAATCACATTTGGTGTATATTCATGAAAAATAAATTGCATGAAAATCCACGTTACACACAGCGTAGAGTGCCAGGTGTTAGGCACAGATCACCAAAACTATATGTATATAAATAGGCGACGTTTCAGGCTATGGGCCTTGCTCCATAGCACGTAAAGAGATGCGAGCCAGATAGAGAATTGGAGGCTGCACTTGGCACCGTGGAATCTCAATGGGCTTTAGGCGAAAAATAAACTTTGGATTCTGATCTAAAAATAATTAAACGTACATTCAAAAATGTTTCCTTATCAAGTTGTTCTGAAAACTGTATTAGCGAATGTTGCTTTCATTTACTTCACGACAACATATCCACCCACAGTGTAATGGGCCTGTAACGTTTACAGGATGGTATGATTTTACTTTCAGAACAGATGAGTTTATTTCGTAACTTTGATGACTAAAAGTTTGTCTGTAAAGCAATTCGGCAAACTTTGCATATCAATTTTAGAACTATATTCTTGGTTCTTTCGGTAAAGTCACGTAGAAGGGGAAACAATAACGTAATAAAAATATAAAACAATATTATTGTATTGTTTCTCTTCTAAGTGACACAAGCAATCATCATCAGGTGTGAAACCAAGAATATATAACCCCGCCTTCTTTCCACCGAGCCCCGCCTACTTTACAAACAAGCTCCGCCCATTACACTCAAGGCCCCCGCCCCCTCTCACCCACCGCCCCCTCTCACCCCCCCTACCCCCTGACCCCCCGACTCCCCACCCTCCTCCTCCTCCCCCCGGTTACGCCCGCTCCGGCCACGTATCATTGGAATCTCTGCGGGAGGGGAAGTCACGTGCTCACCCTGCAGAGCAATTGGCCGTGGGGAAGGAGCACGTGGGTGCTGTGGCTGTGACCCCACCCACCCTGTTCTGCAGCACGTGATGACAACAGCCGATCATGTCGTGTGTGGTCGGGGTGGCTGCAACTATAAACAAAGACAAAGATACCCCCCCCCACCCCGTATAGCCTTAGGGGCCGTCCATAAATGACGTCACGCACCTAGGGCGGGGGGGGGGTCAGACATTTGTGACGATGTGTGACGACGGGGGGGGGGAGAGAAACGTGACGTCACATCAAAATGCGCAACTTTAAAAATAGACAACACGTTCTACTTAATTAAATATACTTTTTTAATAAATGTTTTCTCCTACAACATCAGAGTGCAGCGCCACATATACGCACTACAATGACAATAGTTTAAAGCGATGTGAAGCATGTTTTTTTTTGGGGGGGGGGGCAGAGCTTTGTGACGTCATATTTGTGAGGCCGTGTGACTAAGGGGGGGGTCAAAAATCGTCCAAAATCGCTGGACGTCATTTATGGACGGCCCCTTTGACAGAGTGTTGGGGGCAAGTGCTGTGAGCGAGATAGCACATATGAAGGCCGGTTACGACACAAGAGGGGATGGGTGGTCAGCACCGCAGTCGCCTTTGTCTCTCCAGTGGAAATGATTTTTAGCCGTGAGCGGGAATCGAACTCGGATAGCTGGGTTCGTAACGGCAAACGCCAAGCGCTACACTATCGCTCCCCACGAAACCATTAACACACACACACCTATCAGGCAATTCGATTAAATCAACGTCGAGATTCGATTCAGAAAAAAATGTCATTATGGTGAGTGTAGTGGTCATTGTGAAATCGTTACACACCTGCCAAATTCAGATTGGTTGACTCGGCCCATCATCCATCCGAGGTCGATAAAATATATATTGCGCCACATCGTGCAGAAGTCAAATGTGGTTATCCTGCGGATAGACTACGCTCCGCCGTAGGAATGTGGAATTCTCATCAATGGTTTTTGAGGACTATGAACGGGGACATGAGCACTTACACTCATTTGAGCAAGGAATAGTTTATACAGTTACGGATCAATTGATCAATATTGCTGCGAGGCAACGTTGTCAGCAGAGGGCAGTGCAGAAAATAGGCTATTTTTACCATACTATGGCTACAGCATAATTATTTTCTCCCCCTCATAAATCTGCAATGACCAACTTGATGATGTACACGTATTGATAAATAACCCCCACGACCCGCACGGCGTGGGGAGGACCCTGACCCAGAAGCTGATTTTACAATGCTTTATCATCTACAAATAGATAACAGTATATGCCTGTCTTTAAACAATGGTTTAAGGGCATACACATCCACACTCGCAGTGATGCTGATGCACATGTCTTTACTATTTAGCATAGCAAATTAAATAAATGACCTATCTCCGCGTGAAAAAAGATCAGTCCAGCGACCTACTGGCCTTCACGGACTTGTGTTAATCAGAAAACATTTGTCTAAACACGTAAACTCTAAATGCACCATTCACGAGTTTGTTTCATCACCATATGTGCTCTTAGGGCTAATGGTTACTCCGACTATACAATCCGCAAAGCTATCACTCAAACCATGAAGAAGAACCCTCTTGAGGAGCCTTTCAAAATCATCACTTTACCCTACATTGCTGGGATCACAAAAAAGATCTCCAAAATCTTGAATAAACACAAGATCCAGGTCCGTTTCAACACATTACATAAAATCCGTGATCTGGTTCCGTCTGTAAAAGATGTGATTCCGGACATACAATACCCTGGTGTCTACAAACTAAGTTGCCTCTGTGGTAGTAGTTACATTGGAGAAACCAAACGCCATATCTCGGACCGCATTCGTGAACATAAAGCAGACCTTAAACACGGTAGGACCAACACCTCGGCCGTAGCAGATCATTGTTCTAATTCAGTAGGCTCACATGCCATTGACTTTTCCAAGACGGAGGTTCTTTGTAAGCCATCTGGCTTCCATGAGAGATTCGTTCATGAGGCTATCCACATATACAAGCACAGAGACAATTTCAACCGAGAAGATGGATTCTATCTTAGCAATCATTGGAAAGATTTGATAAATCATTTCAGTTCTTGATTGATTGTTCACGCTTAAAGTGGCTTTCAGACAGCATACATAAAAACAAATTTCGTCTCCCCCCTCCTCTTTTCAAAAAATAGATGGACTAGTCCTGGGCAAACTGCCAATCGTTGCGCGTGACGCAAACGTTATTTTTATATATATAAATAAATATGCCGTTTTCAAAATAAATTTATGCAAACCGACACACCTGATGATGACCGTTTGAGTTATGGTCGAAACGTCGTGAGAATTTTTTATTGTTTTATATATATTTTGTTATTTTGTTGTTTCTCTTCAACGTGACTTTACCGAAAAAACTAAGAATATGAATAAGATCCAGATCCTTTAGCAAATGCGTCTCCTGAACCAGCATTTTATTTCCAGGCACAAGTGTTTATAAGTAAGCCAAGCCTGGACTTAGTTTCGATTTCCTGAGTCAAATCAGAATTTGTTTTGGCCAAGAGTCCTCCACGTGCACAGAGTAATGCAGACAATAAATACGACAAAAGTCGATATGCACATTGCAATTATACGTAGGTGCATCCGTGAATCTCAACCCACTTTTGGATGAGGGCCTTGTACGGGTTTCAGCAGGTCGCAGGAGTTATTTCACCATTCTTCACCTCGCTGGTCCGTGCGGGATGGTGAAGATCGCATCGACGTGGAGACACAAGTACATTTCTGTATAATAACGGATGTTGGAGCACTATACTGCACCCCCGCCTCAGCCCGAGGAGAAACTGTTTGGTGCAGGTCACAAATTTGAACACTATCCAGGCTCAAACCTGCTTAGCTTCTGAGATCTGACAAAGTGGGGCACATTCCGGGTGAATTTGTCACGGGCGACGAAAATTTATCCCAGAATAATAATTATATTGTAGAACTGCTTTTAATTAGTGGATGGAACATCGCTTAATGTGCGTAATTATAAACTCAGAAATTGCCAAATATCCATTATGAAGACTGCTTCGAAATCAGTAAATTAAGGATTATTTTTCCAAGTGCAGAATATGGCCTACTAATTTGCCTGCTTTTAACACACGTTATTGTAATAATCAAATTAAATTTTCGTGGCAATTTCGCATTTTGGAAGACATTGAGAATGAGTGTCTTTTTACGTTATATGTGAATAACCTGCAGGTTATGGTACAACCCACGTGGCCAATTTGCACGATATACGGTGATTTAAGCTCAACAGTCAGCCAATACCGCCATAATAAAATTACCCAAGAATGGCGTGAGCTGTCAAAGACCCTGTGGCGTTACATATAGAACGTGTGTCATTACCAAGGAAAACCTCAATGAGCCTCAATATAAAAAAACAATTCAGAAGGGTGCTGCTACATTGGCATGTTGGGCATGAATGACATTCATTAATGTTTGACTTCACGTGGGTATAAAAAGTTCAACCTGGTGAAAAGTCACCATGCATATAAGGGGGCGGGGTGGGAGGATACTCAGTCATAAAAGCCTACGTGTTAAACCGGGATACTCAGTACTGTCATATCATGTCTCACGTAACAACTGTTAATGGCCTTCTTTGCCTGGTGGAATTACAGGCGTTTTTTTCAATTGCAACAAGCTTGTATTGCACTATTCGCGTGTCCACAGGGCGGCGATGCCTCTCAGTGTGTGTGTGGCTGAAACACGTTTTAAACAAGCCCCCAAACATCCTTGTGAAACAACACGAGTTATATAGAGTGTAATATTACATAGATACACTTTTGAAATCATCAACAGTACCGCAATGCAAGTGTGAGCTGTGCTACACACAAGATGGTGGGTGGCATCTCGCATTTCGTCTTATTAAAAAGTTAAACGTGCGCAACCCTTTAACCAAGTTAAATTGATACTTAAACGTGGAATAAAATGTACGAAAATTGTATTCAGTTTCATGATGAAGAGAAAAATCGTATGGAAAAATAAGAATAGGTTTTACCCTTTCTGGCAATAAAACAGACGTTAAGATGTTCAAACACCAAATAGAAACCTTTTGTTAAGAATCATGTCTGCATTAACCACACGTGCTTGTGGTGAACATGCCAACAAAAAACATGCTCTAGGGTAATATATGCATTGTCTTTGAAAAATCGTAACTTTCAAAAATGTTAATGAAATATTAAAATGATATTAATTTTATGACATGCGGCGTCAGGAGGGGTTTATCAGCACACTGACTCAATACATGCGTCAAAGTTCATCATCTGCTCATTTTCCATGAGCATTGTTCATGGACCAGGCTCTTGAGCCAAATGCGTCACTTGTGGCCGGCCACTGCGACGCGATCTCGTGATTGCATTTGACAAAGTGCGCGCGTGTATGTGTGTTGCCCCAACAATCTGTTTAAAGGCTATACGTGGTATGTTTGTGTGTGTGTGTGATTGGGAAGCGGTCGCACGGTGGTTAGCGCACTGGACTTTAATAAACGTGTCGACCCGAGTTCGATTCCCCTTTCCTTCACGGCCAATAACTTGTGGCGAATATCTCGACTGGACCTGGGCCTCTCTTTGGTTGGCTCGGCCTTAAATGAGAACTCAGTGTGGTGTGTAAATATCAGCACTGGGGAGACTGAGGCGGTGCTGGGCACCCACCCTCTCGTGTGCCGTGCAAGCCCTTTATAGGTGCTTCCTAACAACACTTGCCCCAACAGTCTGTTAAGGCTATACGAGAGATATTTGTTTTTGTGTGTATGTGGTGTGGAACGGTGGTGTAGTGGGGAACGGTGGTGCAGCGGTTAGCGCGCTGCACTACGAACCCCACTTACAACAACACCGGCGACGATTACACTGTGTAACATTTTTTTTTGTTCCTGGGGAGTAAGTGTTATTTCTTAATTACTTGTGCCTCGAAAGTACAGAAAATGGCTATTATTCCCCACAAACTTTGCTTTTGTGACCAGGACAGTGATATTTAGAAATGTACCTATCTTCCAGAACATTTCAGATAGATTCAGTGCTGAGTAAACTTGGAGCAACTTCCAGAACATTCTAGAACTTACCAGTAATATAAACAGTAGTATAAATACAGGGGCCTTAAGCCCACCAGTTCGGTTTAGTTCCGGCTGCTTAAGTGGATACATATCTGCATTTTTCTGAGATGACATCAAGAGGCTGCAAGCATCCGGTAGACGCATTTTGCTATGTCTGTGGCCAATTTATCAAGACAAGAGCGAAAAAGTACTCTGTGAAAGCATCTGCTAAGATGTGCGAGGTCTACAAGGCATATTTCGGCATGCCTGTCGGGGATCAAGACAAACCCTGGGCACCTCATTTCACCTGCGAGCAATGCAAAAAAAACTCTGGAAGGTAAGATGGACAATTGTTGCTCGGAATTTTATGTTGAAAAATGTGTTAAAATTGTAAAAAAAATAAGAAAAAAATATTTTAAAATGTTTTACAATTTTCGATGTTGTTGAAAAAATATATCAGGTATGAAAAATGTTGCGAGACTCTCATACACATTAGTCATGGGTGAAATATACGGGTTTTTGTAGGATGGTACAGAGGGGAAAAGAGAGCCATGAAATTCGCTTTCCCAAGAATTTGGTGGGAACCCACTGACCACTCAAGCAACTGCTACTTCTGCATGGTGGACCCTTCCAAACGTCGGACTGGCAAGAATGCACCTTCCTTCATCCATCGCCCCAGTGCCACACTGCCATGAGCTCCCCGTACCCACTCCTCCGGAGAAAGAACAGCCGTCTTTAGAAGAGAGCAGCAAGTCAGAGAGCGAGGAAGACGTTGTAGATCCAGATGACAATTTCAGAGGTGGAGCTGAGGAGAGAAACCCATACTACCCCAAGCAAAAAGACCTCAACGATTTGATCAGACATCTTGGTCTCACCAAGTCCAATGCCGAGCTTTTGACGTCGAGGCTCAAGCAGCGGAATTTGTTGGATTAAAGTGTACAAGTCGCAGATCAGAGGAAGCGTCACCAACCTTTTTGCAGCTTCTTCACTCGTCAAGATGGGCTCTGCTTCTGCCACAATGTGACCAGTCTGTTCGATGCAATCGGAATTGCCTGTAACCAGAATGAGTGGCGCCTCTTCATTGACAGCTCATCCAGGAGCCTCAAAGCCGTGCTGCTCCATAATGGTAACAAGTACTCGTCTCTTCCCCTGGCTCACTCGGTGCACCTCAAAGAGGATTACAACAGCATCAAGACCTTGCTGGACGCCTTGAAGTATGATGAGTATGGCTGGGAGGTCATTGGAGACTTCTAAATGGTGGCATTCCTGATGGGTCTCCAAGGCGGTTTTACCAAGTTTCCCTGCTATATTTGCCTTTGGGACAGCAGGGACACCAAGGCGCACTACCACAGGCGGGACTGGCCACAGCGGACCAAGTTCTCTGTGGGGAGGAACAACGTCAAGTGGGAGCCACTTGTGGACCCCCAGAAGGTGCAGATGCCACCACTGCACATCAAATTAGGCCTTATGAAACAATTTGTCAGAGCTGTAGATAAGGAGTCCGCAGCCTTCAAGTATCTTCAAGACTTCTTCCCTAAGCTGTCTGAGGCAAATGTCAAAGCCGGTGTTTTCGTCGGACCACAGATAAAGAAGATCCTGGAGTGCAATTAATTCCCAAGAAGCTCACTAGTAAGGAGAAAGCGGCTTGGGACAGCTTTGTCGCAGTGGTTCGTGGCTTCCTGGGCAATCACAAGGTCGAAAACTATGTGGAGCTGATTGAGACTCTGGTGAAGAACTACGGCACGATGGGCTGTAGGATGTCCCTCAAAGTCCATATCCTTGATGCTCATCTTGATACATTCAAGGAGAACATGGGAGCGTACTCGGAGGAGCAAGGCGAGTGCTTCCACCAGGATATACTGGACTTTGAACGCCGCTACCAAGGACAATATAACGAGAACATGATGGGAGACTACATTTGGGGGCTGATTCTTGAAATTGATTAACAGTATTATCGTAAATTTCTAAAAACTACTCACTTCTAAATCTTTGTAGTCATTTTTGTATTACTTTAGTATAAGTACATGTTAATTTTGATTCATATGTTGTTGTTTTCTGACTTTATGTGAACGAAAAGACACAAATTCGCCCGTTTTCTCATTGAAAATAGGTAAATTTCTAAATATCACTGTCCTGGTCACAAAACAAAGTTTGTGGGGAATAATAGCCAATTTCTATACTTTTTACGCATAAACAATTACGAAATAACACTTACTACCCAGGAACAAAAATTGTGTTACATAGTGTTATCAACTCAGCCTCAAATGAGTATCTGCTGCTATACGTAAACATCGCCACTAGGGAGACAAAGGCGGCCGGGAGCGATTGCTGGCCGACCCAACCGCGTCGTGTGCCCTGCAGGGCATCAATGGGGCCGCTACTCGCTTACAGAGCTTGTCCCTGTTAAGGCAATAAGTGGGGGATCTTTGTCTTTGTGGATGTTCATCATGCGCGCGCGCGCTCCCTCGCACATCCGGAATGACATCACCATCTCGGACAGCAGAAGCGCGCCCCTGTGATGCACGCGCACAGCAGCAGCATCGGCACAGCAGCAGCAGCGGCGGCGGAGGAAGAAGAGGAGCAGCAGGAGGAGGAGGAGACGGCATGGGTCGCTTGCAGATGCGCCTCCGCTGACGTTCACAGCGACCGCGAGCATTATTAGCAGCGCCAGCGGACTGACGGTAAGACACGCGTGCATCTGTTGTTGCTGTTGTTTTTGTTGTTAAAAGGTGCGACCGCAATAGGTCGGAGCAAGTATCATCTCGTTTGTTGCCGCGAATGTATAGTGGTGGCGGTGGTGGTGTAATCTACTGTGTGGACAACGTGCCCCTCCAGGGGTCGTCCACTGGGAAGATGGAGCGCTGAAATCCGTTTTATGTGCGGGTGCTTGAGTGATTTGTTATTATGATATGCCGGCCTTCAAAGGTGCTCGCTAACAGCACTTGCCCCAACAGTCTGCGAAGGCTATACGGGGGTAGGGGGTGGGAGGTCTTTGTCTGTATTACATTGTAGGGTCGTGAAATGTGGCGGCGGAAGCGGCTTGGGGAAGGGCCTTCATCCAGCAGTGGATTGACCACGGTTGATGATGACGACGATGACTGCAGTCGAGATGGAACGCGTTGTGTTCGTCGGCGCGTCCGTCCGTGCATTGTGGTGGTAGCGGTGATGATGGTTCAACCGCGTGTGTATCTTCTAATAGGATACACAATGAACGTGTCAAAATTACAATTAGATTTTCTCATTATCGCATTGGATTTCTGATTTAAGTTCAGAGTATGTCAAATACTGAGTGTAATGCGATGGCTCTCTCTCTGAATAGAGGTGGTATATGTCTGCGCGCAGTTAAATATGTACCGCAATTCATTGTCGGATCGTGTGTCATCACATTCAGCCGGCCGATCATGACATTCGAGCATGCTCAGCGTGTGAATTCGCCGCATCTCAATAACGGTGACACCACCATCGCCACTGCGACTGGGACAACTTAATTCGAGATCGTAAACTTTGATTTGTAACTGTTGTGCAGTATATTATACCCGCCGTCATGTTTGTCAACATGATATTTCGTTCGCGAAATTTCATAACAATGGAATAATTTTCATGCACGTACTGTCACGTCCTAATTAAATCCATTTCACAGTTTATTTTTTTAAGTAAATCACGACAGCAGCTGCACGTTGTTTTTTTAGAATGCACTTTGGAGAACCGGCACGGTTGGCTACCGCACCGCCACACTTTTAACCTGGTGACTCGAGTTCGATACCCGGCCACGGCTAACATCAGTGGCAGGTGCCACATCAGAACCGTCCCTGCCCTCTCCTCCCGTCACAAACTCGCATTCGCCAGCGTGAGGTATTGACTTGGCATGGGGACGCCTTCATCCATATGTAGATTGAGAATCGGTGCTTTGTTTAAAAAAAATTGCTATTTGCGTGAGCAAGTTAACAAATGCCTAGTTATTTACAAGGTCTAGATGACACTTGCTTTTTCCCAAACTTTGGTCAATATAAAGCCCTAACTCTTAGCCTAACTGTAGGCAGGGATTGATGTCTCACGAGGTATTTTCCGGGATGCTGCTTGGCTGGCTTGGATTAGGGATTATCGGCACAAGGCACTGCCACTAAAGTGCAATGTGAGCCTATCCATAATACTCTTATTAGTGTTCTCTATATTGGTATACTCCTATGACCAGCTTTATAAAAGTTACGAAAAAAATGATCTGGGGTGCCAAAATAATTACCGGGAAAACATTATTGGAATGTTCTGGCTGATATTAAGCACTCCTGGTAGATCACATATGCAAATAATACCCATGTACCACCACTGGTAAATGGGTGATAGACAGTCCTGCTGTTAACATTCACATTCAAGTGCAACTTTTTCTGTATTTCCATTATCTTTGCTCACAACGATTGCCCTGTGGTAACTATAGATTAAAAAAATATACAGATCGGTCATGATGTAGCTAAAACTGGCAATGCATAGAATTACAGTATGGAAATTGTTAATCGTGTTTGGCAGTAGTGAAATGTTGAAAATGAGATTGACACCGAACCTATAATGCCTTTGGATTTAATTAATAATAATAATGATAAAAACTATGCCACCTTCAACACCCAAGCTATTTTTATCGTCAAGCTATTTGACTTGAATTACGAGTGGGACATCTTGCACCGACGATATGGAGCGATGAAATCGGCGCGTGTGCTTGGTAGATAATTATTATAATCACAGACCCACGAGAAGTGGCGACTTGGGAAGACCTTCATCCAAGAGTAGTTTGACAATGGCTGCTCCTCATGATACTCTGCAAACAACTGAATATAAATTATCCCGATAATACATTATGTTTTCGTTGTTTTATGTTCAATATCTTCCCATTCCTGTCATTGTTGCTTTATACTTGTTGCGTGTATACATATGCTGTGCAAGAACACGTGACTAATTTGAATAACTGATTTCATCCTGCATACACTGTTGGGGTTAGTGCTGTTATCAAGCACATTTTAAGGTCGGCGCACGACATGAATGAACCGGTGTAAATTGGCCAGCTCTGTGCCTGGCTGCCTTAGCATTCCCAGTTCTGATATTTATTATTCACATACAGTATTGCTGCAGCAAGCACTCAATTATGCTGAATATACCTAAGGGACACACGGGGTAGTTCCAGATAGTGTCACTTGCCTAGAAAGCCGGTTAACCCTGAGTCACCGAGGTAATAGCAGAACAGGATGCTAACACAATGCCACGTTTCTCCCATACATACTCTCTTAATTTCACGTGGAACACACCCACCACATCCACCTTGCCTTATTTTGTCCTCAAGGTAAGGCGATGGTATGTGCGGCGATGTGCAAAAAAACATGCGTTGAGAGTGCTCAGGGTAACCAGATGTCTTTAATGACGGTGCAGTACTTAAATGATAATGTATTCATAATAAAGGTTTTTGGGTTAGATCGCGTAAGAATAAATGTGTCGTAACCCTCCATCACCCGACACAGCCAGTAAAGTTCGTCACATAAGCAATGTGCCAATTAAATTTTGATTTAAAGTTTTCGTGACTGCAGGGATTCATATTTTTGGTTCTTCAGTAAAGTCACGTAGAAGGGAAACAATAAAATAATAAAAATATAAAACAATACAATTCTAACGACGTTTCGACTGCAACACAAAGCAATCATCATCAGGTGTGAAAACCACAGCAAGAAAATTTGAAAAAGTGGCGTTTTTTTAATTAACGTTAGCACCACGGAGAGCGATTTGGCAGTTATTCAGATGGATTATTGCTTGTGTTACAGTCGAAACGTCGTGAGAATTTTATTGCTTTATATTTTTATTATTTTATTGTTTTCCTTCTACGTGAATTTACCGAAAGAACCAAGAATATAATGCGCCAATTAGTTTACGACTAATGTATCATGGAGAGGTGTGCCTTGTACTCTCGTGGTAGTGCCTTATGCTGTTAATGCCAACGCCATGCCAGCCTAGCAATGTTCCAGAAAATATCGAGTGTGAAAATAAGCCTTCCGAATGCCTACCATTTGGCTATGAAATGTGTCAATACTTCCGTAGCATTGGGGCACTGAATACCGTTTAGAGACGACCTGTATTTTTGTGACACATGCTCAGTATGATCGTCAACATCAAAGAACAAATGAATGCAGGGACCTCCCATCCTTTCATGTCCTTGATAGCTTCACATTTACTGGGATTGGGTGGCCTTCACCGGACGTGGTTTACATTTTCCCTTTGCGTGGCAGTGACCCATGCCACACAAACAATGCAGATAGCGAAAAGAGGCCTGGGCAAACATGAAAAACGTGCTTTACATAATAACGATAAAATCATAATAACATGTGCGTTGAGCTAGCAGGTGGAATTATTGTATTTAGGGTGAGCAAGGGCAGGAGGTCTTGACTCGTAAAAGATCAGCCAAACAAATTTGAAATGCATGAAATGTGCGGGCGTTGCGCTCATCACACTTCAACGCATTTTGCTTTAGACGTTCACTCCCGTGTCATCGACAGGTTCCCAGTGCCACTCGGGTCGCGTGTGAGCATGCCACCAATTTTGCCTTTCAATCACTCTAATAAGTCGATGCGACGTCCGACGCGTGCCACCGGAAAGTTCGCCCACCCAGGGCTCAATGGAAGAGATGTGCGAGAAATGGTGTACCTGCAAGAATTGCCTGCTTGCGCTGGATTAAAGTAACCAGTTGTTCCGTAATGTTATGAGCGTTGACGTTAAAAAGGTCATTACTTTTTGCCTGCCATGTAAACACATGTGCAAAAATATGATGTCACGAATTTGAGTCGCGTTCACTAAATGTGACTGCTGTGTACTATTGGATATGCAAATGCGAATGAAGCCAATTTTAAATCAATGTTTGTGAGCCACAGCACCGTGCATAAATAGCCGCGACTGTGGTAAAATGCCCTGCAAGTCTCATTGAGATTTGTTAAATATTAATGCTTTGTTCGTACAACACACACGGCAATGCGATAATACATTGAGTGCTTTTCCTTGGCTTTTTTGTATCCATTCCCGTTATCAAGACATCCAGAGTGGCGATGGGTTTGAATATATATACAAGTACACGTTTTCATTTTCACCTTCAAAAATATCCTCCTGCCCTTTCATTACGCCAAAACAAGTTGACAACTATGTTCAGATAATGGGGACTTTTGTATCGTTGTTATTGTGTCAGCCAAAGGCATCGGAGGGGGGCTTCGTGGGTTAACTGCCTCTAGTTCGCATTGCCGTTAAATAGCAATTACCATATCGGCTCGACAATCGCCTACGTGCAACAGTCCTGGGCAGACCATTACCTTCTTTGAAATCAATGAACAATGTACATACGTTCTGAAGGTGCAGTTAGCACTTCACGGATATTGAATAATACATCAGTGGTGTTGGGTCTGCGAAGAAGTATTCACTCGGCATTTAACGACTCGCCACTACTATCCCACCACCCAAAGACAAAGATATCCCTTATCGTGGGAATCGAACTCAGGTGATTCGGTTCGTAGCACAGCAGCGCACTTACCACTACACGACTGCTCCCCAACACACACGCAGGATGAATGGTCACAATTCTGCCGAGCGATTTCATTCATGAGTTTATTTTTGTTTGACTTTTTTTTACCATCTCTTCAGTTGTTTACTACATGAACCGAAATGT